GCAGAGGACGGTTCTGAGGCCTTAGCCTTCCCTTTCCTCTGCGCCGAGACTTCGGGCTGCTGCCCTTTCGGCTTCTCAATTCTCGGACGAGACTGAGACCTGGATCTGTTCCACTCCTCGGCTCGGATGAACCTATCCGATGCTTCCAAGGCTTCCTCCAGGGTCTGCGGGGGATGCATGACCATGAAGTCCAGGAACTTTCCAGCTTGGAGGCCGTTCCGTAGCGCGAACACGGCCAGGCCTTGATCCAGGCTTGTGATTCCGGATGACTCGTTGCTGAAGCGAGTCAGATATTCGCGGAGGCTCTCGTCCTCCGCCTGCTGCAGACTCATTAGCTCTGCAGTGGTCTTCTCTCGGCGGTTGGCCGTAGAGAATTTGCTCTTGAACTTGTTGGAGAGGTCGTTCCAACCGGTTATGGAGCCTTCCTTGAGCCCTTTGGTGATCCAGGATTGGGCAACACCTTTGAGGGTCGTAGGAAAGTATTTACACCAGGTAGCCTCAGACCTCGGGTTCAGATACATGTGCCCCTCGTAAGAGGCAATGTGATCCTTAGGATCTGAGGTACCATCGTAAGTAATATGTGCCGGGATTTTGACCGTTGGCACATGCTCTTCCAGAATCCACTTCTGGAAGGGCGAGTTCGATGGAACCATGACCGCCTTCCCCTTGTACCCGGCCTCAGGGACCTCGCTCCCTCCTCTCTCAGAGGTGGAAGTGGTTTTCGTCCCCGGCTGAGACAAGGTTGGGTGGGGTCCGGTATCCTCTGGGAAGGTGAGGCGGCTATGCACACTCACCTCCCTCGAACCCAAGCGTTCGTGAACGCTTTGGCGGGCGAATTCCGGGTCCTTGGAGGGCCCCATGGAATTCTGAGCTTCAGAGTGGTCAGAGGGTTGAGGGTTCCTCCTCCTCTCCTTACTGGAGTTTCGGGTGTCCCCTCGCCACCTCTGGCCGAGCTCTCTATGTGGTGGAACTTGTCCACCATCATCCTGACCGATCCTCCTTTTCAGGTTTCTCGGCTGGTGATCATCAGGCATCTGGATTGGAGCCCCTTGAGCTTTAAGGAACTCCATGCAGATGGCCACTGCTCTGGCCACTTCCTCGGTGGAGGGTCCGGAGGGAGGAGTCTCCCGCGGATGTGACCTGGATTGCACGCTATGGCGCGGCGGGGAGTTCCTCGCACCTGAGCCACTCGGTCTCGGGGATGGCCCCGGCTGCCGAGTGTGGTGCGAGGTGTTCTCCTCCTGGAGGCTAGGACCTCTTGAGGCTTCCCTTTCCGGAGAAATGGGGGCCTCCGATTCGGAAGAGGCTTGCTCCGGGGAGGGATAAACCGGCTGGCGTTCCCTCACCGTAATCCGGCCTCCTCCCTTCTTAGCCTTCTTGGAACTCTTTCCACTCTTAGTCATGGCGACTGCCGGAGTGTTTGATGACTGACGCGAAATTTAGTAGCGTTCCCCACAGACGGCGCCAAATTGTTTCGGATGAAAACAATCGAATCTCGGAAGATCCTTTTATCTTGAGGGAACTTGGTCTCGGTCCGAACGACGCAGGAGCCGAGGGTTTCCTGCACAACAAATACACGTAAACTAGCCTCGGGGGGGACGCCGAGGAAGGCCCCTCCGATGCTTAAGTCAGTATATTAGAGAGAGAAAGCTGTGCAAGAGTTTAGTTGCTTGAGGCTTTATTGTCTTACCAAGAATTGACCAAATTGTTGGCTTTTATACCTTGGCTAATGAAGGAGGCGGATTGGGCCCGGAAGTCAGTTGGGCTGGGCCAAGCTGATTGGGCCGTTGACTGACCTTGACATGGCTTTGAGGATGTTGATTTTTGACTTTAGCACATTTGGAGAGTTGAACCTTAACCTTGGGCTTTTAATTGGATCATTCAGTGACCAGGCCCAATTGGACTAAATTGGACCCAAACATATGTTATGGTGATTTATCTACGTTCACATGTACAACATGTGATGTGGGCTCTAGTTTTTTAGTGTCTCCTTTGAAGCAAACATAATTTGATGCCCAAATACGGCTAAAACAAGAACAGGGGGTTACGCATTGAGTCAATGGAAATAATAATAGTAATAGGCACCCACTTTGAGTTTTGGCTATAAAGTACAAACCACTTAAAACAGAATCTTGATGATACAAGAAAAAGCTATTTTGAGCGTACATACATAGGAATGAACAAGTACCTTACAGTGACAAAATATGTACAAGTTATGTAAAAGAGTACTTCTCAATAAATATAGTGACTTGTACAACTGAACAAATGAATAATCCCCTCCTTTCCTTTTCGATATGTTGAAGGGTATAATTACGACCATATTAGTATATAGCTACAAATCTTAATCGTAACTAGTATGACATAACAATCACTATATATGTAAATCATCATAAAACCTCCAAGAACCTTTGTTTAAACATATTTTTGAAGGAATTGAGGCGTATGCAAAGGTTTTCGATATGTTGAAGGGTATAATTACGACCATATTAGTATATAGCTACAAATCTTAATCGTAACTAGTATGACATAACAATCACTATATATGTAAATCATCATAAAACCTCGAAGAACCTTTGTTTAAACATATTTTTGAAGGAATTGAGGCGTATGCAAAGGTTTTCATTAAACAACTTCAAAATACATTTGAAACAACAATTGACAGAAAGTTTACAGAGTAAATGTTTATACACAACAAATCTTTTAATCTTCTATCATTTGTTCGTCTAAAATGATTTTCCTCCAAAATAAACACTCATTTCAAGTTTCAACTTTATCACAGCTTATGTCAAAATAAAAATGATTAAATATTACTTACTCTATGGTTTAATTTTAATACTCGTAATTAGGACACCAATTTATTGTCTATGATTATTCATTTCAATTTTTCTTAACCTTTATATAAAAATGACTAGTAAATCAGCAATTAGGTTAAAAAAATCCAGTTGATTCTATTTTCAATCAAACGTGTATGTAATCTAAAGCTTGATTGTTGTTGTCTTATAAAGATTCAGAAGCCCCACCCAAAAAACATATCAGATCTATAGATAAGTTGCACAAGTGACAGGTCCCATGATTAAAGGAAACAGCCAACTTTAACAAACTTACAAGTAGGTTTCTTTTGTAAGTGTAAGGTAATGTCCCACTATTACATTACCAATTTTTTCTAATTACTCACCTTCAATAAGCTCCCCACACACATTATCTTCCTTAGATAAGCTTAAAGATTCTATATTATATATTACTCCATTCGTTTCAAATTAATCGCAACAGTTTGACTTATAGACGTGTTAATGCACAAACATTATAATTTATCATTACATATTAATAGAACAAAATATAAAAAGTTGATATAAAGAAAATGTAGATAAAGTTTTAACCTAAAAAACATATTACATGACAAGATTTGTTTTTTATATGCAAAAGTCAAAGTGTTGAAATTAGTCTAAAACAAGGGCAATTACAATACAAGGTTGAAATTTAACATTAATAACTTATAACTATAAAATTTAACATAAATTAAAGATATGTACTGCCATGCCTTTTCTTCCTATTCACGAGTAGAAGGTGATTGTCCACAAAAAAAGGTCAAAATTAACAAAAAAAAATTAGAGAAAGAAAGTACATGTTTAATTAAGCAATTAGCAATTGTTATATTTTACCTCCCTGTTTTATATTGTTCTTCCTACTTAGACCTTTTTATTGCCTCATAAAAAGAATCTACTTCGATTCCTTCATTTCGTAACAATTGCAACAATAGACATTATACTATACGGAAAATTCTAAGGTGGGGACCAAAGGGAAAATTTAATAATATAAAGTATAGTTAGTGGGGTTATATTTAATTGTTATTAGGAAAAAGAAATGTTTAAATAAAGTAGTATAAATGGGGTTGATAGGAGAGTAAATAATAAAAATTTTGTACAAGTGGAGTTAATGAAAAGAAAAGTGTTGTGATTACTACGAAATGAAGAAAACAATTAGGAAAAACAATAAAAATTGGAGGAGGGAGTATTTAAAAAGTTAAGGTAAAAAAAATAATTAGGAAAAGCAATAAAAATTGGAGGAGGGAGTATTTAAAAAGTTAAGGTAAAAAAATAATTAGGAAAGATACTAAATGAGAACAACATTTTAAAATACCCGAAATGGAAAGTGAACACTATATTTAGGGACGAAGGGAGTATTAAAAAAGTTGAAGTAAGAAAAAAAACATTAGGAAAACGGAAGGAGTAATTGATTTGACTAACTAAGTGCATCAATGTTTGGTTTATACTCTCTCCGTCCCTTGTTAATTACCCATAGAGTAAAATCCACTTATTTTAGGAGCAAAATTTAAAAAAAAAAAAAATTTAAAAAAAAAAGTTAAACTGTTTTAATCAACTATTGATAAACAAAATTTAAAAGAAACCATTAATAAAGTAGTCAATTTGGCAAAGTTTAAAATAGAGTAGACATTTCCCTCTATTATAACAAACCACTTTCAAACAATAAGCTCCTCCTAGAAAGCCCTTTTAGAATCAAAGGTTTTGATCCAAACAACTCTTTCAACCCTCTAAGAGGGGTCAAAACTCAAAACTTCTCATTTTTGCTCAAAACTCTATATACCAAACACCCCTAATAATTAAAACCTACATAAAGACCATTTTTTAAAGAGTTCTGCATTACTAGAATAATTCTCTTGTGCCATATTAATGCTAAATCCTTGGCCTGCCTGCAGAAATATGGACATAAGGCAGTACTTACTCCTATCTCATTTCGTGACATTTATAAAAAATACTTAATCTAGTTTTGCTTATGGCAGAGTTCAAAGATAAAGGAAAATATTATCAGCAGCATAATCAACGTTTAATCTGCTTATAGACCCGGGGGATTTACTCTACAACCTAATGCAAGCATGAATCTTCATTTCACTCAACTCTATCCATGAATTAAAACAAGCATATTCCAACAAATTACACCCTAGAGATGATCGAAAGGCTCTGTTTACAACAGCACAAGTATTGAAACAATCAAGTGCTGATCTCTGCACACTTTGATCACCAGATAGGATGAAATTAAAAAGAATTGTGCCCTTGAGTATCTTTTCATAAGGTCTCTGAAGGCATAGGTGAAACTCAGAGCATCAAATAATGTTAACATCCACAATATATATGTGCTAACTTGAACTGGTTACAGGCTTTGAGGAAATTTAGAACCCAACAGTAAAGTCATTGATTATAGTTAACGACATTCACTGTGTTCGGTTGGTCTCAAACTTTCAAACCCAATTTTCAACATTCCAGCAAGCTTGCCTAAAGAGGAGAAATCTTCTACCATACAATGTTTGAACAAAATGCAATTTTGTTGCTTCTACAGGAAAGTATAAGACAAACCTGCATGAGAATGGCAAACGAATCTTCTATCAGACTATTGGAGAACGAAGTGGCTCGTTTGAGAAAAAAGCTTGCAAGTTCCCTTTCACATGTTCGTACAAATCATGGTAGGCATCATCTGTGCAAGCAGCAAGGTGGGGTGATAGCACAACGTTGTCTAATGCCAATAGCTCTTTTGGCACACTAGGCTCATTCTCAAACACGTCCAGCCCAGCACCTGCTATTTGGCCTTCCAGTAATAATTTCACCAGCTCTTTCTCATCAACTACAGACCCACGAGAAATATTGATGACAACTCCTTCCTTTCCCAATGCCAATAATACTTCCCTGTTTATCATATGCCTCGTTTCATCAGTTAATGGACAGCATATTACAAGAACATCACTATTAGCTGCCAATTCATGGATGTCTGGATAAAACGAGTATGGTACAGAAGGCTTCTTTTTCCTTGAGGTGTATAATATGCTGCAATTGAAACCCGCAAGTCTTTTTGCAATCCTGGAGCCAATACTTCCCAAACCAACAATCCCTATTTTCCTGCATCCGAGCTGAAAACAGTAGATACAAACAGCAACAGCATTAGGGAAGAAAGGACAACAAATGTAGCTAGATGGGCATAATGACATGCTAATTAGGATGTGAAGTTCAGAGTGATAAGAAAAGTACCAAAGCTCAATACAGGTTTTGCATAAAATTGTGTTGGATGATCAACTGAATGAAAGCTAGATGAAGTCTTTGAGAAATGGAATTAACGACTACATGGTAAATGAAAACCGTGCATAAAATTGATGTGGTTCTACCTTTACAAAAAAAGACACCAGGTTTATGAATAGCAGTTAGGTGTGCAGTCATGTAGATGAGCAACTGAGAGTCTAATACACGAATTGAAAATTTGAATTCTGCTTCAATTTTCAAACTTTACTATCACCCAGCCACAATTTCAAACTAGCAATCCGAAGTTTAATGATTTATTTTTCTTAATTTGATACAATAGTTGGGTGATTCAACTGAATATATGACTATTTTTCTAGCTTTATAAGGTTGTCTTCACATATTATTCGCAAAACTTATTCACCAAAGACAATTAATCCTTCCAAATATTATATACAGGAAAGAAGATAAATTTTGGTATTCAACCATTGATCATACTAAAAAAAATTATGGTAATCATTTTAACCAAAATCAAGTAAATGTAGTGTGTTCAAAAGAGGAGACTTATAATTCACAAGTAATGTCTTGTAGAGAATTTAGTGTTATAGGCAACCATTAATCATTTTATATGACACTGGTTGAATTAACTTAACTGTTGAGCAAAAACCAAGGGTGACAAATGTATAGTTCGGTTCAAATTTGGGTCATATTCAATTAACGAGTCATTTGATTTAGTTTCAACTTGGATACGACTAATTCGGTTTGGTACAGTAATAATTAAAATATCATAAAAAAGTCAACAACTATTAGTCAACTTACATAAAAATAATTTTTGGATAGGTTCAAGTCAAACTTAAAATTATTCTTCGACCCAAAAAATTTCATCACCTAAATACGACTCAAACTAAATTGACCCAACCCGAACCGCACATGAACAACACGATTACTCGTCAAGATACTAATCCAACAATTACTTCCAATGCCATTAATAAACACAAAGCTAGGGTTTAGAAATTGCATTTACCCGATTTCCCAACTGATATGCACCGGAAGCGCTCCAATTTCCGCTGCGAACGTAACGATCAGCGGCAGAAATCTTCCGGAGAACGTCAATTAACAGACCGATGGCAGAATCAGCACAATCAGTGGAGAAAACGTCGGCGGCATTAGCGACGGAAATACGACGGCGGCGGCATTCGTCAAGGTCGATGAAGTCGACACCAATGGTGGAGGTGACGATACAACGGAGGGAAGGTAAGTGATCGAGAATTTCGGCGGCGGTTATTCGAGGGCCGAGGCTGGTGACGAACATGGCGGTGACATCGTCGGAGGAGTTCTCGGCGGCGAGGAATTCCGGGAGAGAAAGTTGGGATTCGAAGGATTTGAGGAAGTTGAAATGGCGAGAGAATTGGGATTCGAAGCGCTGGTAGATTGGTGGAGGGGGTTTTAGGAGGAGCACTTTTTGGAGGTTTTTGGGGTTTGAAATCTGGGGTTTTGGGGTGGTTGTTTCCGCCATTGATGCAGGGGAGCGAAACATGTGTTTCAGTGTGATATTCATTTTGGACTATATGTACTGTATATAGACTATAGAGAGAGTAGGTGGTTTATTATTGGTTTAATTACGGATTTGCCACTTGATATGTAATCCAATGAGCATTAATGTGATAAACACGATCTAATCTGGTCTAATCTGATCTCACACGAAGTGTTTTGTACGGGGTATGTTATGTGTTTGATTCACTGAATTTGGGATACATTGGTATGATAATTGCTGCTTACCTATCAAATAAATGTATCATACTCAATAAGTCAATAGATGTGATATAACGTTGAGGTCTTAAGGACATCAATCTCTACATAAGTGACGATCATGTTCTCAATTAAAGAAGATATCAAGTGATGGAAACTAATTTTGGCACTTTCCCTTGTGAATAGAGCATTTAAAACCTCTCAATCAAAGAAGATATTATCCCCTCGAAAAAAAGAAAAAAAAAATCAAAGAAGATATAAGAGATGGAAACTAATTTTGGTACTTTTCCTTGTGAGTAGAGCATTTAAAACCGTACTCTTTGAATCACTTTTATGGAACGCCAAAAATAATTCTAGCTTGTAAAATATACTTAGTGTTATATGCTAATGAGTAGTTTTTTAACATTAAAAACGTAACTCTTACCAAAGTTACCAGTAGGCTACGTTTTGCTTGGTGCGTGACTAGGTTACGAAACACAATTATAAGGCATTGTTTGGTTGACAATTTGAAAATTCAAAATTCCCATAAATTTTGATTGATCAAGGGGGGCTAGGTAATTTACTTTCCTTGATTTGTGGGAAGTTGAAATTCCCATGAATTTTCACTTCCTCCATTTTTGCTTTTAAGTGTCAACCAAACAATTTCTCAATTTATCAAATCCCATGAATTTCCACTTCCCCCATTTTATATTGTCAACCAAACAAGTTTGTGGGGACTTGTGGTGTGCTCCGGTATTTTTTCCCTTTTAGAGACTAGTGGAATTTTAGGCAATGGTAGGTGTTAAAATGCAGATAAAATTGGTTTTTCATAGAAAGAGAAGTTTTACCTGCAGCTTTACATTCAAGACTCACTTCATTGTTTTGCACTTTTGCTTGCAGCATTAATTGTACTCTCTCTAACTCTAGTAACAAAAACTCAGAATAAAACTTCAACGATTCAACATGCTTTTCTGAATTTCAACAGCAATCTAAAAAACATACTTAAGGAATATGGTTGTTTGGTTGAACATAGAGCATTCAAGTATAATTAAAACTCCAGCCATCCAAATCAAAACAGCTTACTGCCCTGCTTCATATACATTTCTACCTGTGCCAAAGCAAAGCGTGCAGGCTTCAAACTCAGAAATCAGCTAGAGTTGTAATGCTGAGGCCATTATTCCAGACACTAGATTGTATGACTAAGTATTTTCATGACGTTTCCACCATCTTCATATCATAACTAACAGAGGAAGAACTATCTGTATTCTGCCACTCTGCCAGAGTATGACCCGTTAGTAATCATTCATCCATGACTGGAGAGAGTAATGGTTTGTTTGAAAAGAAAGCTTGGAGATTTCCTAGCGCAAGCTCAAAAACATCACGAAACGACTCATGAGTTAGATAGGCTGCATGAGGTGACAAAACAACATTGTCCATGCCAAGAAGCTCTTTCGGCACATTAGGCTCTTTCTCAAAAACATCCAATCCAGCACCAGCTATCTTACCTTCAGCTAAAAACCTCACCAATTCATTCTCATCGATTATAGGCCCTCGAGCAATATTAATGATGACACCTTCCTTCCCTAATGCTGTTAGCACTTCTTTGTTTATCATGTGCCTGGTTTGATCAGTTAAGGCACAACTTATAACCAAGGCATCACTGTTAGCAGCTAACTCGCAAATATCTGAGTAGTAAGGGTGTGAAACAGATGGTTTCTCTTTTCTTGAGTTGTACAGAATTTTGCAACCAAAAGCCTCCGATCTTTTCGCAATCCTACAGCCTATGCTTCCCAATCCGACAATTCCTATCCTCTTCCCCTTTAACTGCATGTTTGATTGTATTTAGTATTTGCAAACAACAAGCTAAGAATCTCACATACTTCAAAAATGTACAAGAAAATTTAAATCGCGTGGTATCTTATTAGATTCATCTCGATATATATTATACCAACAAAGGATGTATGCAGAACTGTAGGAGTTTTCTGGAAATGCCTCAACTGCAAACACTTTTAAAACTACTGAATTGCAAACAGAATTTTGAGATAAGATGATATTACCCTATGACCCAAACAATACAGTCCATCAGTGGAACACCAATCACCTCGCCGCACAAGCCGATCACCAGCAGACACCTTACGTAGAAGATTGATAAGAAGAGCCACTGCAAAGTCGGCACAATCATCAGAGTAAGCATCATCAGCATAAGATACAGCTATACCACGACGACCACACTCTGCAAGGTCAATGTGGTTGAGGCCAGCAGTGATGGTGACAATGCACCGGAGGTTTGGGAGATGATCGAGTACGTCAGCAGCGGTAATGAGAACGTGGCCACCAATGAGCATGGCGGTGACACCAGCAGAGTTTGCAGCAGCGAGGGATTCAGGCAGGGGAAGAGGGGAGTCGTAGGCCTTAATGAAGTGAAAATGTTTAGGGGGTGTTTGGTATGGGTTTTTGGAAGAGGTGGAAATGGAATCAGCTTACCGTTACCCTTACAATGCGTTTGGTTCACGAGTAAGGAAACAAATTCCGTTACCTTGTGGTAACTGTTTCCACCCTTTTGTTGCCAGGGTAAATCTTGGGGAAACAATTAACATCACTGGGCTCTAACACAAAAAACCAAACTCTTCTCTTTCCTCTCTCCTCTCTCCTCTCCTTCACCATTTTTCATCCGAATTCCCAAATTTGTTCTTCTAAAATTTTCCTGATAATTCTCTTAAGAAAACAGCAATTCTCCAAATTCCGCTCACTTTTTTTCAATTATCTACTTCAAATCACCAAGGATCCACAATCTCAGGTTTGTTATCTCATTTTTTTGTTGAAAAAAACCCTAGATTTTGATTATATGTTGAATTTGTATATTTTTCATTCTGATTGTTTGTATTTTGATTTTATATCTCGAAATACATGGATTGTTATTTAATTTCCATAATTTCGATTTTAAAATTATCTATCATTTCTCTCGTTTAATTTCTAGGGTTAATATGATATCAATTTCTAGGGTGGTTGATATCAATTTCGAATTTCTGCTAAATTAGATGGTATATATTGCTATTATTGCATGTAATTTGTTGTTTATTTTGTGTTTTTCCCCCATGATTTTGGTTTATTTGCTTATAAGAGCAACACAACCAGATTAGTTACCTGTATTTCGAATCCAAATACTCTGCTAGAGCAACCATTATTTGTTGTGATGATTTGTAACTTTTTCCAAGAAGACCTGCCAATTATTGCTTGTGTTAAGCATTATGTGCTTTGTTTTGCTAGAATTGCTAACAATCTGACCAGAAAGTCATGTAGCAAAGTAGCACTTTTATTAATGCTATGTCTTGTGTTATTTTGCCATTGCTTGTGTTAGGATCATGTGGTTGTTTTTTTAGAAATTATTTTCTAGTCACTGATGTTTGTGATAGTGTATATTGATACTATTGTATATTTTTTGGACTGATTTCTCAAGGTTTCTACAATGCCTCGACTTATGCGTTCCATATGGAAGAAAAAGCTAAAACAAATACTAGTTATTTCAATGGTTATTATTATTTTGATGATGTATTGGATGTGGCATATGATCTGTGTTGTTACAATAAAGGGTGTTCAATTGAAAGAAACAAAAAGTTGCTACGAATGTTAGTTTTGAGAGGGCTTTATAGAGAGAGTGATGTGAAATGCAAGAGTGAGCTTCGCGTTAATAGAAGAACTTTCAATATTATTTGTGAGATGCTTAGAGACATTGGGGGTTTGAGTGGAACAAAAAACATGTCGCTTCAAGAGATCGTAGCCATGTTTTTATACATGTTGGCTCACCCTAAGAAGAATAGGTATATTGGACAATATTTCTTTAGAAGTGGAGAAACCGTGAGCCGACAATTTCACCTTTGTCTAAGGGCTTTTCTCAAATTACACGAAGTATTACTTTACAATCCCACACCAATATTGGATGATTGTGAAGATGAAAGGTGGAAATTTTTCAAGGTATTGATAAGCAACCATTGAATGTCGAGAGAGATGAAGAAGATGATGTGAATTCTACTCATTTGGACACTTATTCTTCTACAAGTCAGCCCAGAAACGCCTCATGAAAATAGAGGATGATCACATAACTCCTTCAAAATGGCAAAAGTGAAGGCTTCTACAATTCATTCTTCCGCAATTGATTCTACTACTCAATCCGAAAAACGCTCTATAAAGGCGAAGGAGACTAAAGTGAAAGGAAAGAACAAGGTAGATTTGAAGAGTTTGTGTAGGAATGATGATGATGATTTGGTGGCCTCCCTCCATGATGTATCCAACAATTTTGGGAAGATATTTGAAAATATCAATGTTAATCTTGGGACTATGGCTAGTGCATGGTCTAAAGTGGAAGAAAGGGAGTAAAGGATGGATGAAAAAGTGAACAAGGTTTTGGACGAGGTGATGAAATTAGATGGCATTTCTCCATCCGAGGCTTTAGAGATTGCTACATTTCTCATGGAGGAAGAACATAAGCTCTGCATCTTTTATCAAGCTCCAACTAATATGAAGAAACAATATGCGATTGATCTTCTTAAGAAAAAGTAGAAAGTTTTTTCCTAAGTTGTTATGGAGTTAATGTTTCAACGGATTTTGAATACTGTTTTTAAAAATAAAAAATAAAAAAAAAATTGGAATGCAAGAATTTCAATGATTTTGTAATCAATAATTTATGTGACTTTGCCTATATCCAGTATTTGACATATTATGGTAATTAGTGTTGCTATACATTGCATAATGTGTAGCAAAAGTTAGCAAAGACAACAAAAAAAATAAGGAAAGCTATTTGTTTCCATGTTATCTATGTCAAACAAGAGGAAACGGATTGGTTGTAATCGTTTACATTTCCTTAGTAATACCAAACAACTAGTAAGGGTAACACTATATATTACTCTTTCCCCTCCTAATTTGTTTCCATTCTCTTACATTTACTAATTTGCTACCAAACGCCCCCTTAGAGAATTCGGCCTCAAAAAGAGAGAAGAAATGTAATGGATTGAGAATGAGGACCTTTGGGAGATTTTCCGGCTGAGATTTTCCGGTGATCTCCATTGCTAAATTAGTAAAGATGATATTATGTGAGATGAAGTGTGGAAATGTTGCTTTTATTTATAGTATTGAGGGTTTGTTACAAGCTTAGAGTTGTGCAATTATTTATGTAATTTCCTAGTATTAATTTGTAATCTTTCGGATTTATAACTAATTCAATGAACTTGTACATCCTAGGGACAAATAATTGAGTATGAAGAGTGAAGAAGACTACAATGTACAAGTATTACTTTCAAATTTCAATTATTTTGTAAGTAGCTTACTTTCGGACACATAAGAGTTGTAAAAAGTATGTACATCAATGATCAATCTAGTCAAATTATCAATACCAAGTGTTAATGTTAGGTAAAATAACTAAAATTAGTCGTCAAAAATTAGCTATTACTCCGTATTAGTTATGTAGTACAAATAATCACTAAACAATCACAATTCATAAGTGGGTATCAAATTATCAACGACGTCTTGGCCTAGTAAATCAAGCGCGTATAAAAACAATTTAGAAAGAGGAATTAAAGTTAAAAGATGAAATTACCCGATTACCCAAGCAATATTTTCCCTTACCACTCCAATCACCTCTTCGCACAAACCCATCAGCAGCAGTTACTTTCCGAAGCACATCAATGACAAGAGCCACCGCATGATCAGCGCAGTCATCGGAGTAAGAATCTCCGGCAGAAGCAACGGCAATACCACGGCGGCGACACTCAGGGAGGTCGATCTGATTAAGTCCAGCAGTAGTGGTGACGATACAACGGAGGTTTGGGATGTAATCGAAGACGTCACGTGCATTTAAAGGGACGTGTCCGCTGGCGAGTAAGGCGGTGACTCCGGCGGAGTTTGCGGCGGCGAGGAAGTGAGGGAGCGGAAGAGGTGAATCGGAAGCTTTGATGAAGTGGAAGTGTTGGGAGAATTCGGATTCGTGGATTGGGAAGGCTGGTGGTGGTTTAATAATGAGGACTTTCTGTAGTGGTGTTTTGGCGTCAATCGACATTGATGGCTGATAAGAGAATAATGTAATGGTGAAAGGAAGGTTGGTTTTGTTTGTGGATTTAATTTAATCGACTATTCTGTTGGTTCTAACTTTGATTAATGTATGGATGGATAATCATGGTCTTGGGGTCTTGTATGGTTAGCCTGTTAGGTATAGGTGTCAATTTGGGTAAATGACGTTCTTGAATGTGTTGATTACGTCCAGTCAAGTCAGGTTTAATTTAAGTTTGAGTTATACAGAGTACTTTCTTCGTCTTTTTATTAAGAGTCTGTATTTTAAATTTAGATAATCAAAATTAAGAGTCTATTTTTATTTAAAAATTGTACTTTAATATAATATTTTCCTCTTTTTGATGAATTGTCATACTTTTTACATTAGTTCTAACAACTTTTTCTTTCTCTTAATCTCTCAATCATTAGTTTTAAAGAATCTACGACTTTATTAATTCTTGTGAAAAAATCTAAGTAAGCTCTTAATAAAAGGACGAAGGGAGTACTAAATTTATTACTCTGTATCCGTATAAGTTACAATCTAAATTGGGTTACATACCACTTAAATCCTGTCGAATCTGATCTATATTGATACCTCTACCTTTGAGTTTCTAACTTTGGTTTTTTGTGATCCATGTGATTCCACGTTTGTGTAATGTTCTTTGAATTAGTTTCCTCCACACATTTTGTGTTTCATGTTGATTAAAGTATAAAATAAAATATTTACATATCTTAGTTTTTCATGTAAAAATCTAAAATTAAGTTTAGTGTTGGTTTAATATATAAATAAGTCCGTAAAATACATGATCTTCTTTGAATTATATCAATGTATATTCTCAATACACTGAATATTAGTTTAGTAATGTTTTAAACTCAAGATATACGAAGTACTACAAGTTTTGCAATTGCATTAATTGAATTGTTGCATTTTTTTATTTTTATTTTTATTTTTTTTGAATGGAATCGTTGCATTTACTTTGAAAACAAAGTTATTATACGGAGTATATTTATATCTTTTAGAATTAAAACATTTGGACTTCAGTTTATCTCACGATTAGTATTTCTTTATAAAATGCTCTGTACTAGCAATGGCGGAGCCACGTTGAAACTAGGGGGACAGCTAATTTCCAAAAAAAAAAACATTGATTTTTGTTGTTTACAACGTGCAGTAATTAGGAATATATTACTAGTAGTTATACATATAGCTTTTTGTTGTAACATATACGTTATATGTTACAAGACATAAACATGGTATAGTGGTTGTTGAGGGAGAATAAGGATGGACATGATAATGTTTTTCCCTCTTTTTGTTCCAAGTTCGATTCCTAACACTCCCGTTTAACCACTATTGTTATTTTTGCTATTTTTTTTCCCTCCTTACGATAATCTGCTCTAATTTTCTTATTCTTGTTTTGCTTTTTTTATTTTTTTTTTCTTGCTTTGGGATTTCATTTTACAGCTTATACGGAGTAGTTCATATAAAGTATTTCATCCGTTCTTTATTTATTGCACCATGAGTGATTTTACGTTTACCAATGTATTATATTGCCTATTTATATCTTTAATTATACTTTTGTAAAAATTATAAAAAAAATTGATATTTAAAAAGTAGATTTCTAGACGAATCTAACTAGAACCCACATGATAATATTTTTCCTTATGAAAAAATGGACATGATAATGTTTTTCCTTATGAAAAAATGGAGGAAGTCTTAGAAGTCTTTCTTTCAAAAAAAAAAAAAAAAAAAAATACTCCGCATTATAAGTATTCAAGCACCTAATTTCGTTCATTTAACTATTTTTATTTAACGGGTATTTATCTATATAATTACGTACCACTTTACTGATAGTGATTACTAATAGGCTAGTTCATACAATTTATTAATGAATACTTTCTATGTTTTTTTTTATACTTGTAACACATCTAGGCTATTTGAAGAGGTGATTAAATTAAGTAAACAGATATTTAAGCTACTCCCTCTATGTTTTAATAAGTGTTACAGTTTGATCAGCACATAATTTTAGGCAATTTCAATGACTTAAATAAAATAAGAGGTAAGTGGGGTGGTAGAAGTATTAAAAAATTGTTAAAGAAAAATAGTGGGGTCAATAGTTTATTGAAAATTAATGAATGTGAGAGGGAAAAAATAATAATAAAAAAAATTAGTAGTGGGTTTAGATAGGGACCATGAGAAGAGAGAGATATAATACTCATATTAAAATGTAGCTTTTTGCCAAAAAAGAAAGTGTAACACTTATCAAAACACGGCCGGATTTGGTAAGTGTAACACTTATTCAAACACGGAGGGAGTATGAAATATAAATCGTAACAACTTATCACTTTCTTGTTATCAATGGTAAAATTTTGTGAATTAATTTATCCGTTTACCTAGTCTAATATCTCCCTAAAAATACGTGCTAAAGAGGTGTGTTGCGAGTAAATAAAAACGGAGGAAGTATATATTAACATATTACTGTATTTTTTTATTTCTTTAACTATGTGTGCCTTAATTCTATTTTTGTTTTATTAATAGATTACCATTAATTAATTTTTTTAGACTAAAGAGTACACTATAATACTTGATTAGTTAGTTGCGTCAATTTATTTTTCGAATGTAATAAAAAAAACCCTTCATATCTATTATCAATTTGTCGAAAAAAAATTACAATTTGATTTATGATAAGGTAATTGATTCATACTTATCAATTATTGGATTGTATAACCTGAAAATTGGGGTTTGCAAACAAACATTTATTCTTTTGTTGGATAAATTTCTTAATTTGCGATGAAACTTTTAATAACTTTCTCTTTTGCCATATAGGAATAATTGTCATATGCGATTTCAAATAAATATTAAACAAATTATGCGAGCAATTTTTTTCTTAAATTTTTGTCGAGTTATTAAACATCTAAAATTTGTCACCCCTGATTCAAAATCCTGGCTCCGCCACTGCATATTAGCTAATTTTTCCATGACAAATAATTGATATCCCATTATCTCCTATCTCGTATATTTTTCAATATAATAACAATTGATAACCAAATAATGAAATGGGGTAACAATATTGAGCACCACTTAAAATTAGTTGTCACGATAACAGTTGTTGTTAGCTGGTCTCGAGACCAGCCAGAGTTGGTTGGTCTCGTTCGGAAATGAACATTTACCATAACAAAACTGAACAATTTCTAACAGAACATATTTTACAATAATTTTGTATTTCTCAATAATTAAATGTTCATTTTTCATACAATATGATGTTCATTCATTTAAAATAAATGTCCATTTTCATGCCGTATGATGTTCATTCTTATAAAATAAATGTTCATTTTCTTTGTTAATTAATACAATTTTTTTTTTGTTTAGTTGTATAAAATGTTCATTTTTACAATAAATGATGTTCAATTAACATTAACATTAATAATGTTAGACATTAGCATTTTGTTCATTATTAAAAAACATATTGTTGATTTATTTAATTGATATTAAATCATATCATTCAGCAAATTACAAGATATTTATTCAAGAGAATTTAACAAATCAAGGTATTTCACTTGAAGCTTAAAAAAATGTTGATGAATAAGCAACAAAATGATATGTTAATTTTTATTTACAACTGAAATGTTCAATTATATAACATTAGATGTGCAATTATTTTTTTTTTTTTTTCAGTTTCACAGTCTCTTTATTTTATTCTTATATTATAAATATTCATTTTTATATATTGCAATGTTCAATTACTATATGTTCATTTTTTTCTAATAAATGTTCATTTTATTTCTAGTAAATATTCATTTTTATAGCACAAGACCAGCCAGCTATAGCTGGTCGCGCGACCAGCTAAGAATTTGCGGTCACGATAAGTTGAAAATAATACTTGTATGAGACACGTTGAGTAGGCTTTGATAGGTTACCCAAAACCATTATGAAATATTGAAATCTATTGACGTACATTTTTGTTTTCTATTGAGCGGGCCTCTTGCTACTGGGTTGGTTGCGTGGGCGTTGTGCATGAATCACGATCCACGATCCTATTCGTCTCTACAATTATTATGTCGTGTTAAGCTTGAAGCAGCTTTATCCAGCCAGGTGAGGTCAATTCATGGCAACTTGCCAAGCTCTATGTACACTCAATGTGGCTTGGACACAATTTCTTGGTCGTGCCAATACATGATTGTCATAGGCCTCCACATAACCCAATTTACAGCCGCTCAAATCTTATTTACTACGGATTACTAAGTAATAAGTATTTTACATTTTTACTCCTTCCGTTTTTAAATACTTGTTCCATTTCCTTATTTGAAAAGTTTTTATAATATTTAATTCATTTCTCTCAATTAGTAGACCCAACATAAATTATATTTTTATTAATTTTATATTCTCTCTCCTTCAATTCTCTCAACTACTTTTGCTTTTTAATAATATTTTACTCTTCCACCTAGCCCACTAGCTACCTATATATTTTATTATTTTCTCCTAAAACTCCGCACATTGAGAAATGAAGCAAGTATTGAAAACGGAGGAAATTGATTTTGGCACACCATTAATTGATTTTGACACACCCCTATGTGAGAAAAGTATAGAAAACCGTGCTCTCACATAAAGGTGTGCCAAAATTAATTTTGGTGTGTCAAAATCATTTCTCCAAAACGGAGGGAGTATTAGTTTAACGGTCTAATGCTTGGTTGTGTATAAATTATTAAGTGCAATCAACATATTTATATTTAATCATTAATGACAAAAGAAATACCCAAAAAAAGATAATGCAAATGGGTTTGTGAGTGAGAAAAATAACAATATAATAGGAAGTAGATTTTCTTACCAAATAAAAAAGCGTGACAATTGTTTAAAAAATGGATGAAAAAAATTGGTACAATCAATCAGTTTCGAAAATCATTTAAGCATACTTCACTCGTATCATCATAAAATCAAATCTATGAGTCACTCACTCTTCAAATTTGTGACTTATACCAATTTCTCTTTCCTATTGGTCAAATCCGTTTACAAAGTGATCTTATAATAAATAAATAAAAAGTCTTAAAATTTAAATGTACTCTACAGTTTGTTGATAATGTCTAGCGACTTGCGAGTATGAACAAAAATGGTCCCCCAATTAGATTTGCGTAACATTTTTATTTAGACATTATATAAAGTTATAAACCATAGAGTTTACTCCTCCATAAAACTATAGTTGTCAATCTTGTCATCCCTATTTCCCAAAATAGGCAACATTAGATCATCCCTTCAAAGTCCTTACACAACCACGTCCAAAAACGAAAACTATAATGACATCGGTTAATGCCACCCAACCGGTCTTAGCATTCGACCGTCAGGACGATGTCATAAAATTCGATGACACAAAACTAGGAGTTAAAGGCCTAGTCGACTCTGGTGTCACCCAAATCCCTTCCTTCTTCTGCCACCCTCCAGAAACCCTGTGCCCGACATGGGTGCTGACCCCATTCCCGTAATCGATCTATCAGATCCAACACCAGAGGTGGTAGAACAATTCCGTAAAGCCGCAGGTACATTCCGGTTTTTTCAAGTGGTAAACCATGGAGTCCCAGTTTCTCTCCTTGATCGCCTTGTAAAAGCCGTCAAGGCATTTCATGAACTCCCACCTGAAGAGAGGATGAAGCATTACAGACGAGATATGGCAAACGGTGTTAACTACTTTTCGAACGTTTTGGTAACAAAAGCTGCCAGCTGGAAAGATTCGTTGCAGGTTCGGTTGAGTCTTACTATGGCTGCTATTGATGCTATTCCGGATATTTGCAGGTAATAAACAATGCTGATTTTGTAACTTTTGGGTCTGAGATGAGTTTCACGTGTTTGTTTGTATGATTTATCGGCAATTTCTATTGTTCAATCATATTGTACAATCAATTATCACAAAGTTGAGAATCTAACCCCTCTTACAGAGTTGGAAGGAGGGCCTCCAATCATTAAAGCCTTGTACTTGAGCATATATGTGTGTGAACAAAGTTTAAGGAAAGGTAGAGGCCATAGAGAGAACTTTAACTAAAGAAATACTGAAAAAAAAAAAAAACCAAGTGGGTTAATAAGATACTCTCTCCCTTTCTCTTTTTTTTTTCTTTTTTTTTTTTTTTTTTTTTTTTTTTTGCATCACTTGAGGATGCTTAGAGTTTTAGGGGGTGAATTTGCTATAATATAATAATGTGAGTGGATGGATAATTTATTATACTTCTTCCATTTTTTTTTTATTGCACGGGTTGAGCACAACTTTTTTTGGTAGTGGAAAAAAGGATGAGAGAGAAAGGTAAATATACAAAATTGCCCATGTGATGGTTTACATAAACTAAAAAAATCAAGTGTTGAAAAGTAAGGGTATATTTGTTATTTGTTGTAAACATAAATATTTCTTTTCCTTAAATAGAAATGGTGTCATATTTGTGATATTTCCTTAAAAAGCAAATGATGCAATATTAAAAAACAGTAAAATTGTAAAAGTAATGTGTGGACCATTAAAGTGAAAGTATGTGTGAGAGAGTAGTGGGGACCATGAGAGAAAGAAATGATAAATTAATTTAAGTGAGGTTTAAAGTAAGGAAGATAAATGATACTATAGTATAATGTTACTATATATAAAAGTGATGCAAATAAAATAAAACATCCATATAAAGTAAGTGATGCAAATAAAATAAAACATGTATAAAAGACAAGTGATGCAAATAAAAAAAAACAGTAAAATAATACTGGAATAAGAAAATGGATGAGAAAAGTGTTGTCATTAATCACAAACAAAAATTGTTTAAAATAGATGAAAAAGTGTTGCAATTGCAAATAATCAGAAAAGAAAATTGTTTTAAATACACTTTATTATCATAAGACCGATTTTACGAGTCACTAAATCACTGTAAGCTTGTAACCTTATTCCAATCTCTTTCTATTGTCCACCCCATCAATCTAGAGTTTCTAGACTGTACAATTTGTTGATAACTTCTCGCGAGTATGAACAAAAGTGGTCCCCAAATTAAAGTTGCGTAGCTTATTTATTTTGACAATATATAACCATAAAGTTCCGTATTAATCTCATTTTTTTCTAAGTTGAAAATTCACACCAAAAATTGACTACTACTCCTCCTCCTTAAAACTATATGTCATCCCTATTCCCAAAATTAGAACATCCCCTGAAAGTCCTTACACATTTACGCCCAAAAACGAAAACAGGAACTATAATGACATCGGTTACCCAACCGGTCTTAGCATTCAACCGTCAGGACGATGTCAAAAAATTCGAAGACACAAAACTAGGAGTTAAAGGCCTAGTCGATTCAGGTGTCACCCAAATCCCTTCCATCTTCCACCACCCTCCAGAAAGCCTGATCAATTCAGCACCCGACACGGATCCTGACCCAATTCCCGTGATCGACCTATCAGGTCCAACACCAGAGGTGGTGGACCAAGTCCGTAAAGCCGCGGGAACGTTTGGGTTTTTTCAAGTGGTAAACCATGGAGTCCCAGTTTCTCTCCTTGATCGCCTTGTAAAAACGGTCAAGGCATTTCACGAACTCCCGCCTGAAGAGAGGATGAAGCATTACCGGAGAGATATGGCAACTGGTGTTACCTACTTTTCGAACATTGATCTCTTCGTATCAAAAGCTGCCAGCTGGAGGGATACGTTACAACTTCGGTTGGGTCCTACTATGGCTGATATTGATGCTATTCCGGATATATGCAGGTAATAATGCTGATTTTTTTTTTTAAGCTTTTATCTAAAACTTGACATGTTTTGTGACTGAGAGTTTCGTGTTGGATTTGCATTGATCGTTTTTGTTTGTCATTATTGTGTGTTGTTTTTTTCAGTTTGTCTCGTGTTTTGAATTTTCGGATTTCAGATGAGTTTCATGTGTTTGTATTATTTATCGGTAGTTTCTATTGTACAATCAATTATAACAATAAATAATATAGTACGAGTAGTGTAATTGAACAAAAATATTAAGCAACCCATGAATATCTTGATGGTGTAACTACACGTCTCTACAATGTTGATTTTTTTTTTTCTTCACGTAATTATAAGTACAAGAAAATTCTTGGGCTATACCACACAAGTTTGAATTTTGTTGATTAATGTTTGAAGGATACACCTTCCCTTCTGTTCATCCTTTGTCATTTGATCCAACTTTGTGGACTTATTAGGGACAACCTAATTTTTGGACCACATAGATTTGATTCACCCGAACCCAAATTGACAGGCATGTAAATATATTTTAATTTTCGGTATTTTAGATCACTAAATTTGATTTTTCTTCAATGATAAACTAATTTAGAATAAACATGACCTCAACCTAATCTTGATACGACTCGAGAAAAAAGACATGTTAGCTACCGTGACCTAAGCCACCCTTGTCATCTCAATCATTTTTTTTTTTTTTTCTAAAACAAAACTGCAAGTTATTGAATTCTAAACTTGCTCAGAAGCAGTCCACTCACTAAAGAAATGTCCAAAATTGTTCCCAGAATTGGATTAGTCCACTCTATGATATGGATTTCTATATTAATCCTTATAATTATAGATGTATTTGGCAACTTGATTCTAAAGAATAGATTAGCTAAAAATCAGTGGATATTAAAATGAATGGAATATATCCTTATCCTTTTCCTAAACTACAGTAAATATGTTAGGTAATCATATTCAACTTTTAGTTGGTATGGGGTAATATTTTTGATTTGTTGACATTGGTATTAAGCAGTTTATTACGGAGTACTCAACTACGAGTAATTTTTCCGTCAATATTTGTTGTTTCTAGTTTGACTTTGTTTTTTGTCGTTAAAAAGATTCTAAAATCTAAATAGATAAAACAAATACATACGGAAGGAGTAAATGGTTATTTTGGACAATTGGATACCGTAAGTACATAAATTACCCCTGTCCCGTCTAAAAGACTTTGAGATCTACCATTCTTGTTGATGTATAACCTAAGTTTTATGGTAAAAGTACCACTGTTACGTATCGTGTTGAAACCTTATTAAAAGTTGATTAATCCCTGAAGATTGGTTCTCATTGATGATGTTATTTCCAAATGATTAATTCTGGCAGAAATGAGATTCTTGAATGGGATAAGGAAGTGAAACAGCTAACTGAGAAGCTATTGGGACTATTCTCTCAAGGATTGGGAGTGAAAGCCGATAAGTTGACAGAGATGTCATGTTCAGGAGGAAGAGTCATGGTTGGACACTACTATCCTTATTGTCCCGAGCCTAACAAGACAGTTGGGATCGCGTGCCATACAGATCCCGGTGTTCTCACTGTGCTGCTGCAGGATCAAGTTGGTGGGTTGCAAATTAAACATGAAGGAAATTGGGTGAATGTGAAACCAGTCCATGGTGCACTTGTTATTAATGTTGGTGACCTTCTTCAGGTACCAAACATAGCTTAATTTTGACTGTAAACCTATTAATTACTGCAGGGTTTCAGTTTGTTAAAAAGCTGGTTGTCTTTGTGTCTTTCTCAGATCCTCTCGAATGATAAGTACACGAGTGTAGAGCACCGAGTGTATGCTAATCCTCAGCATGAACCACGGGTGTCAATCGCTGTGTTCTGCAACCCTAGCAAGAGGGATGACTTGTATGGACCATTACCAGAGATAGTATCACCTCGAGAACCTGCACATTACCAGCAATTCACATACTCAGAATTCATTAACAGGTTTTTTAAAAAGGAACTGGATGGAAAGTCCTTGGCCAAATACTTCAGTTTGGAAAACGAGTGATTAATCATGTTGGGATGATTTGTGATCATGTAACTGCTCGGCGTGATTGTGTAGTTAATCTATGAATCATTTGGTTCCGTTGATGTACTGATGTGTACTCTTTCATGTCAGAATTGTGGTTAACCTGTATTTATCTTGAGCCTTCCATCACTAATCATGTTGTCATTTTATTGAAAAACAGAACAGTCAGAATTGCGGTTACGTTGATTTCTTTTGTTCACAAGTCATTTATGCTGAGGGTTTTAAATAAGTTAGTCAAGCTGAAGGCATTTTCCAAGGAAAAGTAATTACTTGTATATAATAACTCAAGGTTCCTTCAAAAAAAAAAAAAAAAATAACTCAAGGTCATTATATATACAACTAATGACCCACTAATCCATACAACTAAAGTTTGCAGATCAAGTTGATGATGTTGACAAAGCACGCTTAATTATGTCACCAACCAATGTTTAGACCATAATTTTCCACCTAATCCCATTTTTCCTAGCGCCGAAATCATGACGACAAACACAAGCAGTATCAGTAGCCTCTCAAACTACAACCGTGATAAAGAACTGCAAGAGTTTGACAACACCAAACTTGGTGTAAAAGGCCTGGTTGACTCAGGCATAACACAAATCCCTCGCATCTTCCACCACCCACCAGATACCTTGTTTCACCTCAGCAACACAGATAGCAGTTCAGAACAGGATCAGACGATACCTTTTATCGACCTCTTGAGTAGGCAACCAGAGATTGTGCAGAGTATCAGAGATGCTTCAGCTAAGTTTGGATTCTTTCAGGTGATCAACCATGGAATTTCAGTCTGCCTCCTTGACCGCCTGCTCGACAAAATCAAGGCCTTCCATGAACTGCCACCTGAGCAGAAGATCCCTCATTACAGAAGAGATACCACTACTTGCAGCAGTGGAGGAGTGGGATTTTACTCTAACTTTGACTTGTTTCAATCTGATGCTGCCAGTTGGAGGGATACTCTTGAGATTCGGCTGGAACAATTTGATCCCAAAGCTCTCCCAGAAGTATGCAGGTGAGTCTATGTTGATGAATTACTATGCGTTGCATAAGTCTGTCTCTTCGAGTGACCTAGCACTGGTTCTTGCTTTGCCTTATATTGAGATCAGTTGTCCTCAAGATCCCTTCTCTGCGCGGTTGACACAGCTAACGAGTAGTTAATTAAACGTGTTAAATCTATGTGTTCTGGTTTATTGATTTCGCTTAATCTTTCTTGCACTCGCTATAACAGGCATGATTTAGGAACTCTAATTTCAGACTTCTTACAAATTATGTCTGATTCTTGATTCCCTGATCAACTAATAATTATTCGGATAAAAGTTTTCAGCAATGTCTGCACACCCCCATACATGATTTATTTGTTGTTCTAGAGAAAATACTTCACATTTCTTTACTTAACAAGACTGCATATATTCAGACCTCCTCGGATTATGCCTACAAAAACCTCCACCTAAGTTGATATTGTAAAAAGGAATTAGAGATGTACAAAACTGAATTTTAATCTCTTCTCCTGTTGCAAGTTCTGTTAAAAATGACCAGTTGTTACCTTAGCTTCGTTATATTTAATTTTTGTGGATGGTAGAGAGGAGGTGATTGAATGGGACAAGGAAGTAAAGCAGCTAGCGAAGAGACTCATGCGATTATTGTCCGAAGGTTTGGGGTTAATTACGAACAAATTACTGGAGATGTCCTGCATCGAAAGAAGACTTATGGTCGGCCAGTATTATCCACACTGTCCTGAGCCTAACAAGACAGTTGGGATCACTGCACATACAGATCTTGAGACTTTGACGATATTGTTGCAGGATCAATGTGGAGGTTTGCAAGTTAACTGCCATGGAAAATGGATTGATGTGAAGCCAGTTCAAGGTGCTCTTGTTGTATCCATTGGTGACACGCTTCAGGTATCCTATCTTTATATTATCATTAGAACTATAAAAATTCTGAATCGCTAACATGTTAGCTACCAAACACATAAAATTTGGGAGAAACATCTTTAAACGCAGATCAAATATTCCCTCCGTCTCATAATATAGTTCCTGTAACCTATTTTGGAAATCCAAAAAGTTATTCTTGTTTCTATTTTTGGATAGTATGTAATGACTATTATACCCTCATTTTTTTTAACTTTATTCATTGTACTTCTTAAATTACCGTTGAATTTTACACATGTCATGTACTTTTTTCCAGTTTCTCTCCTAACTTTTGTCTATAATTGTACTTTTCACTTTTCTTAATGTACTTCATCTACTTTCTCTTCCTATTTTTTTAATACCGTGAAAAAACACAAACAAGAACTATATTATGAGACGGAAGGAGTATATGTTGAAGACTTCTATATCCTAACCATTAGATATCTCCAACATCCCCTTTCCCCCCAAAAAAATATGTTCTGTTTTTAGTCATTTGAAACTAATCTCTATGAATTCTATATAGATGATATGCAATGACGAATACAAGAGTGGAGAACATCGTGTATTTGCTAATTGTTTAAGTGAACCAAGAGTGTCTGTTGCAGTCTTCTTTGATCCAGGCATCAGTGAAATCGAGTATGGACCTTTGCCCGAGTTAGTTTCACAGGAAAAACCTGCATTGTATCAACAGTTCAAATTCTCCGATGTTCTTTACAAGGGCTTGGATACAGGGCTAGAAGGCGAGGGCAAGTACACAATCAACTACTTTCGACTATAAATCTGTGTGTTTCACAGAGAACTAGAAACATGTAATTTATTTTGAACATTCTCTATCCTGAGTACTTCAGACGCAATTTTAATCATGCAAAATTGCATACTCATGACTCATCCCTACAAAATAGTCAATTCTTTGGGATTTGTTTACTCCTTTAACCAATACGCTATGCCTTTTGAACATACTTTATAAATCAAAGTTTTGTAAGAAATTTCTAAGAAGGCAGCTTATCCTTACACTATTCCAAATTGTACATAATATTTCTTAAACAATGGCCCCTAACAACTCCCTTCCCCCAATCCCTTCCACAACACACACTATCCAAGTCACATTATTGACAAAAAAAAAAAAAAAAAAAAGATCTCACAATTTCATACAAATTTATTTTGAGAAATCAACAATACAAGCATAAGTAACCCAAACGAGGAGAATACGATCCACCTATAAGCTCAAATGAGGTTCCACACTAAAATTTATATGCAATAGTAGGAGTAACTCTTCTAGGCTTCTAGCTTATGAGTATAATCCATTAACCTCTCATTCTTCCCTCTTTAGGACAGCTCACAAATAGACAACAAAAGGATGTAAAGGGCCATACATATCTTATGACATCCTTTTGTACTTATCCAACTTTCTTAAATACTCGTACTATAGCCAATAATGTGTTAAATGAATAAAAGCCAAACATGCTCAGCTAAAAATAATTTCCTACAAGATAATACGGCTCTAATCACATCATTTTATCCTACTTTGGAGTGTAAATACAACTTTGTAACAGAAAGATGCAACAAAAGACCTCTCTTTTAGCCAACCTTCATATTGCATAATAATAATAAGCATAAGAAGCATAGTTTATGTCATGATAGAGTACTTTTTTTTTTTTTATTCAATTGCGTTGAATCTACACTTTAGAACCATGTGCGCATTATCACTATAGTATTGATTTTTTGAATATACTTTATGTCTTTATCTTTATTTGATACCATCCGCATTGGTTCCGTCAACTAAAACAACAATTGACTATTAATCTTTCTTAAAAGAACCATGTATATTTATAACTCTAAACCTTCTTCTAAGTAAACCACCCACCTATAATCAAACAAAATCTATCAGAGATGACAACATATAGTAATGATTATGATCGCCGTAAAGACCTAGAGGAATTCGAAGATACCAAACTCGGCGTGAAGGGCCTGGTTGACTCCGGCATAACTCACGTCCCACGTATCTTCCACCACCCACCTGAGACCCTCTTTGATCATGAACAGCCCCAAACACCCAACCCAGATGGTGAGCAAATCATACCTGTCATTGACCTCTCAGGTAAGCACGAGGAAGTGGTAAAGCAGCTGCGAGATGCCTCGGCTAAGTTCGGGTTCTTTCAGGTGATCAACCATGGGATATCAGTCTCCCTTCTGGACCGTCTGCTTGATGCTATTAAGGCCTTCCATGAGCTGCAACCAGAGGAGAAGATGCAGGTTTATCATCGCGAAACAGTCACTGCAGGCGGTGGAGTGGGGTTTTACTCCAACTACGACTTATTCCAATCAAAAGCTGCAAGCTGGCGAGATACACTTGCAATTCGTCTTGCTCCCATCCCAGTCGATCCCAGTATAATCCCTGAAGTTTGCAGGTTAGTCATTTATGTGTAACTATCATACTTCAACCATATATGCCACCAGATAAATATCAACCTTTATACGTCCGCTAGCTACCTATACATATATATACTGACATAATAAGAAAGTGACGGCCGGAAATATTCATTTGGACAATGGCTCCTCCACTCCTGCATACACTACAAGCTATTACCTAAACTATACTATACTCTTCTTATCATATACGGAGTAGGTTAGTTCTAAATTGTGTGATGTATATCGGGTAAAAGATATATCAATCAACAATAGTGCTGCTTTTCTGCAGAACAGAGGTGATGGAGTGGGATAAGGAAGTGAAGCAGCTCGCCGACCAACTCATGGGATTGCTATCTGAAGGGTTGGGACTAAGTGCTGATAAATTGACAGGGACGTCTTATTTAGGAAGGAGAGCTGTGGCCGGTCAATATTATCCATATTGTCCAGAGCCAAACAAGACGGTAGGTATAGCTTCGCATACAGATCCTGGGATTCTGACAGTCTTGCTGCAGGATCAAGTGGGTGGGTTGCAAGTTAAGTATGGTAGCAATTGGATCAATCTGAAACCAGTTCGCGGTACTCTTGTTATTAACCTCGGAGACTTATTCCAGGTACCTGACCTTCTAATGTCTAGAAAACATCTTTCTTCAAACCCAACTAATTATAGCGCAGGTCACAGTTTAAATATCAGAAAAGAAAATTCTGACAACAGAATGTTAATGTAAACTTGAATGAAGTAGCTTACATGATGTATCATATATACTCAGAATGCTTTCGGCTTTGCAAAGCTTACTCCTTGCATTTTGTTTCATTTAGATAATATCAAATGATGAATACAAGAGCGGAGAACATCGTGTATACGCTAATCCTTTCCTCAAACCACGAGTATCAATCGCATTCTTCTTAAGCCCAGGTATTTATGAGAATCTATATGGACCTTTGCCGGAGTTGGTATCACCTGAAAGACCAGCACTATATCAGCAACACACTTTCTCGGATTTGGTAAAAAATTTCTTCTCAAAGGAGTTGGAGGGAAAGTCCATGACCAGCTACTTCAGATTGTAATAATGTGATCTTTGGTTCCATGATATTAGCTTCAATTTGTATTATTGGTTGTATGATACAAGGCTTGGATAAAAATGAAATAGACATTTAACTATGTAATAACAAAGTTTATTTTGCCAGATGAGATAATTTAGAATATTCCTCAAATGTGACTCATAATTTCAATAAGAATAAATTGTGTGTCAAAGAACACCTAGCCCCTAAAGCTAACATTTATCCAAGCGACTAAGTACTGATGTACACATAATAGCATGAAGAATATTCAAATGGTATTGAAAACACTCCTTAGAACATGTGCGCGTTATCTTTACGGCATATGTTAAAACTTAACATCAACATCAACCACGGAAATCTCTTCAATAAAATCATGGCTGAATCATAAGAATGGCTTGAAAATCCATAGATGTCAATAATTGTGACGACTAAACACCAACCGGCAACCGAGAGGAGACAGTACAAAACTCGTCTTTGTGAAACCATTCATTCCCCCAAAAACATATCACAAATGACAACTAGCAAGATACTTCAAGATGATGAATATGACCGTAGTAAAGAGTTACAAGAATTCGAAGACACCAAACTTGGAGTAAAGGGCTTAGTTGACTCAGGCATAGCACAGATTCCACGTATTTTCCATTTCCAACCCGAGGATCTCTTTGATCATGAACCTCAACAACCCAACCCAAGTAATGATATGATCATACCTGTTATTGACCTCTCTGGTGAGCACAAGGATCTGGTGCAGCAGCTGCGAGATGGCTCAGCTAAGTTCGGTTTCTTTCAAGTAATCAACCATGGGATGCCAATCTCTCTCCTTGACCGTCTGATTGATTCTGTCAAGGCCTTCCATGAGCTGCAGCCACAGGAAAAGATGCAAGTTTATTGCCGAGATATGGTCACTGCAAGAAGTGGAGTGGGATTCTACTCTATTTATGATTTGTTCCATTCTAAAGTTGCAAGCTGGCAGGATACACTTGCAGTTCGTCTGGCTCCCATCCCTTTTGATCCCAATGAAATCCATGAAGTTTGCAGGTTAGTCATTAATGTGTTCTATCATACTTCAAGTATAATATCAGCACTAACTAAGCTAAGCCAAACCAGCTTTGCAAAAGAGTACTTCTATCGCCTTCTTTTTTTCTTCCCTTTGCTTCTGAGCTATGTTTCTATAGTTATATCTGATATCTATTCTGAAAGTGATCCTATTTGGATCTTAAAAGTCACAAGATCATAATCAGAACTGAAACCCACAAACTTTTTATCATGTTGTTGGTGTCCTCAACAAATTGATGTAAATATGGGGCACTGATTAATGTAATGACATACAGAACTCCGACGATATTCATATATGTAATGCCTCCTGTATAAACAACTACAAGGTCTAACCTAAATCTTTACGAAATTGGACTGAACTTTAATTCTTATCATCATATCTATTATAATCTATGTGATATCTGGAGAAGAAACAAGAAACATTCATTTCATGCAAAAATAGTGCTGGATTTCTGCAGAACTGAGGTGGTAGAGTGGGACAAGGAAGTCGAGAATCTTGGGGAAAGACTCATGGGATTGCTATGTGAAGGGTTAGGACTCAGTGCTGATAAGTTGACAGGGAAGTCCTATTTAGGAAGAAGACCATGGTCGGCCAGTATTATCCATATTGTCCAGAGCCTGACAAGACAGTTGGGATTGCTTCGCATACAGATCCTGGGATTTTGACAGTGTTGTTGCAGGATCAAGTAGGTGGGCTGCAAGTTGAATATGATGGAAAGTGGATTGATCTGAAACCAATTCATGGAGCTCTTGTTGTTAACATTGGAGACTTATTACAGGTATTTGTCTTTTATAATAATACTAGTAGTTGACATCTTTCTTCAATCTCAGAAACTAAGGCAGGACACAATTTACCAAACAAAACTGAATATTCTGAGGATAGACTGCTAATTGAAACTAGAAAGGGAGAATTACATCTAATTTGTATTAAAAGTTCAATGAAGCCTATAGTCTATGTTACTTAAACTCCTCATTTCAACTATGACATTGACATGATTACTCGATTCTTCAATTAGGACTAAATAATTTTTTTTTTAATAAAAAAGCCAAATTCAATTTAGCACACACTTGTATCAACATGAGTGCACGAGTTTGGTTCACATAGACAGCAGTCACATCATTAGTTCAGTACATTTTCATTCGAATGAAACTTATTCTTGAAATTGCCACTTAGATAATATCCAATGATGAATACAAGAGTGGAGAACATCGTGTATTTGCTAATCCTTTCCACACATCACGAGTATCAATTGCTGTGTTCTTCAGCCCAGGCATTCATGACAATATGTATGGACCGTTGCCTGAGTTGGTGTCACCTGAAAAGCCAGCACTGTACCAACAACTCAAATTCTCAGACTTGGTTAGGAGGTTCTTTTCAAAGGAATTGGAGGGCAAGTCCATGACTAGCTACTTTCGATTGTAAATTTGTTATCTCGGGTTCACAGTTATATACAGTACTTCAAATTTCTAGAATTTATTTGCAATCGTTAAAAAGTATGGCTAAAGCAGGGCCTAAGATCCTAGGAAGTCCTGATGAAGTATACTGTTGTCTACCTTACAATGTGCTAACTTGAGCTTCGATTATTGGATCAATAATAGTTATTTTTTCCTAACTAGTGAAAATATTACAGTATTAAGAGAAAACCACCCTAGACATTAGGAGAAGATTTCCAATTTGACGCGGCAAATTGAGAAAGCCAAGATTGCCATTACAATCAAGTAACATAATCGAATTACGTATATGTCCTATTAGGCTCTCCAAAAAAACAGGACTGTTTAATTCTTCAAATTCAGCAAAATTTCACCATTGCATAATTTGCATTAAAAGACTATCTAAAAACTACAATGGTTCAAACTCTGTTTCATCAAGACTAACATGACTTAGCCTACTTAGGTGTCCATCCTACATCCGAGTAACCCAAGTGTAATTTAACATAATCTCACATCACGTACACTTACATCCGCGTATAGAATAGAATTCACATTAATGTAACCTCCAGATGGTTGTATTTCGTTTTTTTATACACTTGTCCCATTTCTTTTTCAGGTACAAGTCATTTTCCTTGCTCCATCATCAGATAAATCTTGTACTAATCAAAATTCATACTCGTACTATTTATTCTCATCCTATCCACTTCCACATCATATTAATCAACATATAACAACATTCACATAAAAATCACAAAAATTCACATAAAATCAACAACAATCAAATTAATTAATTTTCCTTAATTTTCATACCTGATCTTATGGAAAAATTTGAGAAACCAAAAGTTCCGGTGATAATAGCAATGAAAGGGCATCCAGGCACCGGAAAAAGCACAATCGCCGCCGCAATCGCCGCCGTACTCCAGTGCACACTCATAGACAAAGACGACATCCGAGACGCAACACTTTTTCTCTCCTCCACCGCCACGTCATCAGCACTCAACGACCTCTCCTACGACGCCATGTGGCGCGTGGCATCAACGCAGATTCGCCTCGGTCTCTCCGTCGTCGTCGACTCGCCTCTTTCCCGGCGCCACCATCTAGACGCCGTCCGCCGGATCTCCGGCGAGACCCACCGTGTTTTGATCGTGGAATGTCGGCCGTCCGATGAAGGGGAGTGGCGGCGGTGGGTTGAACGGCGGGGAGAGGAAGATGGAGGGGTGGGGCATAAGCCGGCCACGTGGCAGGATATGGAGCGTTTGTTGGAAGGGTATGATGGATGTACGGAGTATGATGTGGGTGAGGTTCCTAGGTTGGTTGTTGATACTACTAATTGTGGGGTTGATGGGGTTTTATGTAGTGTTATAGAATTTATTGAAAATCACTGTGGCGATCATCCGTCGTGATCGGTTAAACATGCATCGCGTACATAAAGGGCTAAGTAGCTAATACGAGTAGACTACATAACAAAGGTTGTTCATTGTGTTTGTGAATGTCAATGGAGTAGTACATACATATGTGATTGAGTTCGGCATAATCTTTAATGAGTTATCCTTCTTAAATTAGAGGTATGTTTGCAAGTTATTCGCGTTCCTAAATTAGTAAGTATTGCAAGTAATACCGATCACAAATTTTACAATTTGTGCTTACTTTGTTAACTCACAAAATTAGATAACTTTATAATTTCATTTAGTTTATTGATTTATTAAGTGAATGAAAATTTTCAAGATTTAGCTTCTTTCCAACAATTTTTCTATGACTTTTAGGCTCGGTTTGTTCAAACCGTGAAGTCATCTTCCATGATCCTAAAAATCAATTAGTCAACTCATTACTTATCTCAAAACCAATTTGCACATTTGATTTAGCATCTCTAGAAAAAATTTCTACAATGAAATACAAAGTAACACTATCACCAATTCACCATAATAGTTGTCTACTGTCTTACCCTTCTTGAAGAAAGAAAATTTTCACAAAAAATTTGTAAGGGTAGCAATTTTTTTTATCGAAGTTAAGTATAAAGCTACTAATTCATACAAAGTACGAAGTATTAAACAATCGACTTTATGATTTTAGATAGAATAGGTTATTTTTTAATGTCCATTCCTAGCAAATTAGCAATTAGCCCACCACTACATTGTGGCCTTGTGGGTTATCTTAAAAAAAGCGAACATTCATTTTGCATAGATAATAACATTTACAACCATCGAAATCATCCCTTCTAATTCATAAGAATCATAACCATCGTTAACCAATTTTCTTCAAAAACATACCCAACACCCCTAACCATAGAAGATTTCTAATACAACGGTTGTAAATTCATTAGATTAACACTAAGAAATGAACTACCCTTAACATTGGAACACTAATAAGTTGAAGTAATCACATTGCGTAACTACGACCACGACCATGACCACGACCACGACCATGACCGCCTGATTGATCAGACCAACAATCAATAACATCCTCACCTTCCATTTGAAGATCAAGAGGGGTTTCACAATCTTTGACTTGCTTACCCAAATAAGTAAACTTAAAGGCCTTGTAGTTCAAACCCAATTCAAGGCAATAATTAAGCATAAGCTTTCCTAATGGAGCGTTACGCTTAATATTAAAAGTTACATCTTTGGTATTTTGCATTTGTACTGTAATCTTCACAGTTTTACCATCAACATTGCTTCCTTTTCCTCTGGACTTTCTTACGCTGCCGTCGCCCGGGGTAGGGCTGGGTGTCCTTGGCTTTGATGATCCTTCCATTGAAGTATACAAAGTTCTAAAATTTTGAAATCTTTAGTATAGAGGTTTCGTTGTTTTGCCTTTGCTACCATTTTATAGATAGGCTAAGGGAACTGTTAGTAGGGTTTTGAATTGTGAATTTTGTGATGATTGGGCCTTTAGACTTTGGATATTAAAAATTCAATTAAATTTTTAAAATGTAAGTGGAGTATTTGAAAGATTGTAAGTGGGGTAATTTAGATAGGGTGATGCTAAATGTTGCAAGTTGCAACAAAATATATTCGCTACAATCTTACGTGGCACTTGTTTATTGGTGCCACATAAGATTTGACTTGGTGCCACGTAAGATTTGACTCATCGTATTTATTTACTGCTCAAATAGTCGTATACTCATGGGAATGAAAATTGAGGAAAGAAGAAATTTATGGAAGTTAGAATATCTTATACTCCCGTAGAACATTATGATGAATATTATTTTTTACCTTTATCTTGTATATCATAGCTAAAATTAGGAAATATAATCCACATATTATATTTTATGTAATCTTTAAAGTTTGTTTTTATAATACTTTTTTAAAAAAAATAATAAACAACATGTTGCGATTATTATGAAACGGGGGGAATACAAAAGGGATTTTTTTTTTATTTTTTTTTATTTGTTTTTTTTTTTTTACGGAAGGGAGTATAAAAAGTTGGTATATTGAAAATGTATAACAATACACATCGACTATAATCCCATTAGATAATTTACTACTCGTCTACTCCTGAGAAGTCAAGGTTTTGTCAAATGGAATCTAGCATTTGGGACATAGTGCTCAAAGGAAAAACAGGCAAAACGTTACTACTAAACTCATAAGAAAAATAATTCACCATTAAACTAGCACAATAAATTTTAGGCAACAACTAAAACACCAACGAAAACTGAAAACACAAGGGTGATTTTAGGACAATTTTCAACAACACCCAATTCGTTACAACGCCTAATAAACAAAACAAGAACAACACATTAGGAAGAAAACACCCAATAACGAAGAAACTAGTACCCTAACAAAGCAATTAATTGATTAATTAAGGTAAAGTACGTTACTAATTAAATAGTAGATAGATGACCACCAATTTGATCAGCCCAACAATCAATAACATCTTCTTCATCTTCCATTTGAAGGAGATTAGGAGTATCAAATTCAGAAATTTGCTTACCAAGATAAGTAAACTTAAACCCCTTATAATCAACACCTAAAGTTTGACAATAATCAAACATTAACCTTCCTAATGCAAAATCTCTCTTTATCTTGTAAGAAACATCTTTGGTATTTTCCTTCACTACTCTAACCTTCACAATCTTGTCATTTTCTAGAATGTTCTTGTTTTCTCCACGTCCACTTCCCTTCTTCTTCGTTGATGAACCTTCCATGAATGTTTTTTTGTAACTTTTGAAGATGTTTAAGTTTATTTTCTTAAAGTTATGTGAAAGAATAGGGTAATTTTCTTTTTGTAGGTAGGTTAATTTGTTTTGATAGTAGTAAATGCTGTCTTCAATTTTCTTTTTACCCGTATTTATTGTGTGATTGGTTGATATACTTGGTATTTAACATAGAGATTATGAAAGATCTTAGGAATTAAAAGAACATATTTTTTGGAATACATTTTTTGTACATGTCATCCTTGCGCAGGGGTCATGCTAATCTTCTCAAGAACATATTTTTTGGAATATTAAAGGTTACATTTATTATAAAGACATGAAAATATGCTAATTTTGACTGTATGAAAATATATGGAGTAACTCTTAGTTTTTTTTGTTTTTTTTTTCTTTAATGCAAATGGAGTAACTCTTAGTAACTTTACACGGAGTACTCTTTTTTGTTTGAAAAGCTTAGTAACTTTATACTCTTATAATTTTTATAAGGAAAATGATAAACATAGTCCTAAGGCCTATAAATAAGGAGCTAAAAGTGGTAATATTTGATAAAATCAAGCATTTATTACATTGATTTGCGCGTGATTGTGTCATGAATTCACAAATTATTTTCATTTTAAGAAGTATAATAATGTTTTAAACATAACTCTAAGGGCTATATATAACATTACCGTTTTTATAAATAGATAATTAAAGATAATACGAGTTATTTATGTTTTGATAAGAGTAATAATCAAAGCGATACACTTATTTAAAAACAGCCTTAGTATAGAGTAAATACAGTACATAAATCACTAGGATAATTAGAACTTTTTGTAAAAGCAAAACTTTTCATTTTCAACCATGCAAACAACACTTCGTAGTTCCAATATTAATATTATAGGCAAAACAACTTCCAAAGGGTCGTAAGGCATTTATTTTCCTTTTCTCTTCTTATCTAAATTAAATAATTAATGCATCAGCTTGACTTTTACATTATTCACGTACTAATTTGACTTAATTTTTTTTATTCATACGTAAGACTTAAATATTACGGAGTACTACATATTATGTATACTTCTGTTGATTTAGATAGAATGTATATGTTTCAAAAAAAAAAAAAAAAGATAGAATGTATATTTTCATAATACTCCATATTAAAATATTAGAATTTAAAGTAATACAAAATTAAAATTATTAAGTGTCAAATCTATAAGTTACCGTAATACATATGTAGTCAAAGTAATACACTTATTAAGATATGAATGGAGTATGAAATAATCATCTCAAGAGTTTGTAAGAAAAAAATTAAATACTTCTAAATAAAAGAGGTTGAGTTTAGCAAGTATAAATTTGAAAATGAAGAATAACCATGAAGCATGTTGATGAACTGATGATAATCAATGAACTACAACTACCAGGGTATTGGGTATATCATTGTCAGATTGATTCCTTTGAAACTTTGGTGCATCAAGTCAAGTATCATTCGTCAGATTTTATGTCCAATTTTTCAAATTACAGTATACTTTGGTTACTTTTGTTTTGATTCTTTTGACTAGTCTTTTTATTTTATTTTTTAAATGTTTTTCAAGTAAACAAACTAATTAGTCTTTTCGTGAAATGAAAAATCAATTGTTAAGGGTCTATTTAGAGCATCCACAATGGTTGTGCATAAAGACCTACTAGCAATTTCTAAATAATTGCTAGCTACATACTAGCCATTGTGGAGCTACAACCTATTGTAGCCAAGTCAAACTACATAGCTCTATAGAGCTATATAGTTTTACTCCACCCAATATAATTATATTTATTTGTTTAATATATTTTATGTATTTGCTAATATATTTATTTATTTTATGTCATCATGTGGGACATAATAAAATTACAAAAAAAAGTAGCTTGTCATAGTAAAGGTTGTAGCTTAAATCATGTAGCTTGAGAAATAATAATGTTGGCAACCCTTAGCTACATGTACATGTAACTAGCCATTGTGGATGTTCTTGCGTCGTTGTGGTTTTTTATTTTTTGTTTTTCAAAATCATACGTAGTATGATATATGTCATTTAACGAATCACGAAAAAAGGTCAAACTTATTAAAATCGTGATAATTTTGAAAATTGACAAACTAAAAAGTAAAAACACCTTTTTCTTATTGCAAAAATACACTTTAATAATCCCAACTTTGCTCAATTTACTTTATATAATCCTAACTTTCGATTATTCTGTAATAATCCAAACTTTCACCTGCGTTTTTTTTCTTCAATTCCAAACCGGTCAACAAAAGTCAATTATCTGATATTTTAGGTCAACAAAAAACTACTCGTAATTTTTTTTTTCTTTTTTGTTTGGAGTATTGTCTTATCCAAGTTCAATTCAACATAAAGGATTTTCAGAGCTCACTTACGCATCACCTAAGAGTTCCTCCCTGATTTTGTAATACCCGAATTCACTTCTCTAATTATATGCAGTCAACCAAACAAACACTTAGGCCTCGTTTGATTGTATATGGGAATTAAATACTACATGGAAAATTTTATTGCCTTGGAAATACTAAAATTGTGTTTGGTTGACATTTAGGAAATCGTATTTCTCATGAATTAGTTTCCTACGTTTTGTTTGGTTAAATTATAAAATACCCATGTATTATTATAACTTGAACTACTATCCCAAAATTTTGAGGATAATAATGTAATTTCATCCAAAATACATGTTAGAGAGTTTGAGTGACCAAGGTAGGGTATGGAAAATTAATTCCCATGTTTTGTAGGAATTCCAAATTCCTTAGAAATTTCCACTTCCTACATTTTTGCTAACCAAACAACTACTTTTAAACACATTCCCCATGAATTTGTATTTCCTCCATTATTAAAGTGCAAACAAACAAGGTCTTACAGTTTCATCACAATAGTTGCTTTGGTTAATCTAATCTAAGTACATAAAATATACTCCTATATAAATAGATAATTTAACGAACCAAATATATTTACCTTCCCTCCAAAAATAACCCCAATTAAACAAAAAGGAAATGTGTTCATAGAATTGAAATTTTAAAGAGCCAGATACCGTTAAAATGACATTTAAAATCAAATTAACATTACGGAAAAAACTACTCCGTAATAGAGAAAAACAGGAGCAACAGGTTCTAAGAGTAGTCCGTATACAGTATGTAGTAGCAATATCGGTAGATAATTGAGATGTACACTCTTAACTCTCAAGTAAACGTATATAATAAAAACTTGAAAAACAAATACCTTGCAACTTCATATTATATAACAAAACAAGAACAAATGACAGGCAGCAGCTGCAACAGCAAACCGATTCAAAGGAAGCAGAACAGCTAGCTTCAGATTAGATTGTGATTTGTGAAGAAACTACGGTTTCTTTACAGCACATGACTACACCTTTAGGAGGGCCTATGATTTGCCCTTAATTACTTAATATAATATATCATTAGCCAAAACCAAAAGCAACGCCGCTATACAAGCTGAAGAGCAACCCTACTTAGTACTTCAAGCAACAACACTTGCAGAATAAACAGAGATGGAATTTATCTAGATATGTAAGGCTCAAAAAGCGCTACACAAGGATTAGGATCATACTGCATAATCTCAGCAGCTCGTTCGAATTCCTCCCTTAGGACTCTAATGCTGCGTTTGTCTACCACTCGTCCTAGATCATGGGATGTCTCGAACGGATCTTCTATGCATATAAGGTGACGATCATTACCCACCCTTCTTGTCCAATCTTTTTCTTGCTTCCTACCAGAACCAAAGAATTAGCTATGCATAACTTTAGCCTTTTAACCCAAGAGTACTTAAAGAAAGTAAGGAAAAGATAAAAAGAAAGTGAAGAGCTACTTGTATTCAAACAAACCCAAACAGAAAGGTTAGCTTAACATATTATTTACTGAAGAAAGTAAACAAGACATGAAGTCCCACAATAGTACAATAAAGACCGATGGGAAGCAGCAACCATGGTATGGATTACAACACAAGTTTTGACAGAAAGGTCCGTATTTAAAAATGATCCTGATAATAATTGAATATTTATCTCACCTGAGGATACAACCAGCACGAACTGATATGACATTATTTGCATAATCATGACAATATGCCCAATAATTAAAGAACCCCCACAGTAACTTGGAAATATTTTCGTTATTTCGGGCTCCAAAATCACGAAGTTTTTCAACTTGATCAAAGAAAGCGCATTCGACATTATCAACAGTCACAGCATATGTAGGTTTCATTCTCTGCAAGAAATCAAAGGGTCAGGCCGTCAGGTTACCAGAATATTCAGCTAAAAAGACTTAGTTAAACTACTCAAAAAGGGCAAGAATTAATCCTTCAAATATAATGCTAAGAAGAAAGTGATGCATGCTTGCATTTGATACAAATCAAGAACTTGATAGAAAAGCATCATCAACAACCTTTTTGTTAATCATCTTTTCCGACAGATCCTCAGAAGTTACATAATAAAAACAGAAAGCCAGTTTAGTAAGTGAAGGGAACATACGCACACCGGATGGTAAAACTTGGATACTCTCTTCCAATGTCACTAGATGGTTTATTAAAGAATAGAGTTTCGAGTTTCAACAGAATACACAATGGATCTCGCTATTATTGTTGTTGAGGCACTCAATGCAAGTGCAGATTATCTGGGGTAAATAGAAGCATGTTTAGTTGTGTTAAATTGTGACTCAAAATCATATCTCTCATACTATAAGTGATTTTGAGGTGATTCAAGTTGGAGGTGATAGCTTGTTTCAAAAGTTTTCCAACGATAGGTCATATGCCCAATTCCGATAAGAAACGAGAAAGTTATGGCCGTTTTACAAAGACCTAACGAACCTGGAAAATTGCAAAGAGGAAGCGAGCTATAGCTCTAGCCTCTAGGTGAGTGAGCTATAGCTCATTCCTATGGAGGTTGCGGCAAGCTTGAGCTAGCTGCCGAGCTCGCTCAGTTCTTGTGGGATAACTTATGGAATATTTCCTAAAATTATATCTTTTCTATGACGGCCATTTGAGTTTTACTTGGGGAATACTTTAGGGTTTAATTAGGGTTCCCTATTTTCTCGTTCTTTCTCCGTTATAGTGAAGAAGCTCTCGAATCCTCCACCCGTGGACGTAGGTCTAATTTCACCGAACCACGTAAATCCTTGTGTTCTTTGTTTATCATCTTTATTGTTTTTCTTGTTCTTATTTTTCATTGACCTGTTTCGCATTAATCAAACACAATTACAACCTTATTTCCTAACAAGTTGTTTTAATGAATCGCAGAATTTTACTCTTGGAATCTTATACTTTTGAGCAAGAGCACAAAGTCCCTAGACGAGGGTGAACCAGCAAGAGTCTGTAAGTGCTCCTGCATGTATCTATTTTCCAACAGATTGAGGGGTAAAATAATTTTAAGACAAACAAAATCGAAGAAAGTAATTCATTCTAGCTTCACCATAAATCCTACAGCCATACAGCACCCAGTCCCACACTCTTCACTCCATACAGTGAATGTATACTACATTATAAGCATGCTTGTTGCATTACTAAAATATCTTTTAGGCTATCTATCCAGGATAAGAAGAGAGCTTTTAAGAGAGGATAAACTAGTATAAAGACAGCAAGGCCTTTCAAACAAAAGTAGAAACCAAAATGCAAAATTAGCAAAGGCTTCCAAATTCTGCTAAAGACCTTTCAAAAGAGTATTTACTCCAAGTTATCAGGTCATCCTTCAAGCATATCCAAATAAAAAACCTTTGCAGATCATCCTTATGATTAATCAATCCAAAATAAATTATTACCACAAAAATAACAAACTTAGGAAGCAAGCTTTAAAATGCCCCTGTAAAATAGTACATACCAGATGCTCCAAAAGAAGCATTTAAACTTTTACCTGCAAACAAGGAAGGATGGGAGGATTACGCTGCTGTAAAAAATGGATGCACATCAGCACATACCTGCATAACAAATCAAAAAAGCTCATTCCATGTGAAGAAAGTTATATTTAGAGGACCACCATATAATCCACTGAGTGAGGACTACTTTGTTAGTCTAAATGGCCTATTTTACAGACATAGAAGTATATTATTCAAGTGTCAATAAGAAGATGATGACAAGAGCAAACCTACAATGCCAACCCCCTTGGTATGAAAAATACAGATGTAGATATAACCAATCACATCACAAAATAATCATTTATTGTAGAATAACTCACGCGTAACTAGATAGTGTTCCCTGATAAGTTTCATTGACTCCTCTGGACTTCGCCCAGTGTTTCACAAGAAATGCCAACTGCCTTAGTCTTGCATCAATTTCACCATAATCTCGAAGCAGCTTTGTATTTACAACAGCTAAAACATTGTTTATGCAAATGTCACATGAAATTCCTGTCACTGGATCCATAAGCTTTACTATGGGAACCCGTGCACGAGTCAATGCCTGTAATCAGAAATTAAAGCAAATTGAAACACAAAAACTGCTTAAACCAAAGCATGCATTTGAAATGAGAGTATCATGCCCAAATCAACTTCAAATAAGAATCTTATGCCACTGTTTCCAGATTGACCCAAAGGAGAAAAAGAGAGATGCATATCCTTGATGAACATTTACCAGCTTTTCTAGCTTAGCCATATAAGTGAATTAACCCGCCTTAAGTTCATGGGGTGACACTATATTGGTATTACTAACCAGAAACACATAAAACAGTTGCTCATGCTTGTCAAATTCATTTTTAGCGCTTTTCAAATTTTATCTGAATGAAACCACCAAAGTTAAGTTTTATACGAACAAAACTGTCTTCTGAAGTCCTTCGCTATATTTAGTTTACGTGTTCAATAAAATCATCACAGATGTGGTAAAAGGTGAATCTTAAACAGTGATGACAAAGAGCGTAAGAGAGTTGATACAAGATCATATTTCAGTATGGGCCCCATTGCAGAACTCATTTCGTAATATTATTGTTGTTATGATCAATAACTTAAGAAAATTTAATCAATTAATACAAAATCGAATAAGCTTTCATTCCATGATGAATATAGAAAGAAATTAAATCATGTGGATACGTTCAAACTGAAAAGAAAATTCCACAATTTATGAGAACAAACATCACCTAGTATAGACCTTGTCCGATAAAAAAAATTGAATGCTAGTAGTACAAATACAATGCAAAAAATTTGATTGCTAACTTTAATAAGACTTACCTGCACATCTTGGAGATTATCAGACTTTAAAATCTCAGCCAATTTCAACAACATATCAACCTTATTGATGTATAGATCATCAATGGCAAGGCAGACATCAATGTCACTTTTTGAGACTCCAAAAGAGTTGGCACAAGATCCATAAACATAAACCTTAGCATTAGGCCATTCCTTGCACACAAGTTTCTCCAATAATGCCAAAAACTGCTTTTGCTTGGCCTTCTCCTCCTCTACTGGTATTAGAGACTCGTAAATTGCAAGAAAAGGGGCATCCAACCGGTCTATATCTCTCCGACATTCAGTCAGCCTTCTGGAGTTTCTTATCCTTTGCGAAAGGATCCATTTCCCTCTAGCATCGGATCTGAAGTCCTAATTGCAAGCACAATAGTTTGAGTGCAAAAAATCAGCAGTCAATGGGCATAAGCAGTATGGGTGGAAACTTAAGTAGCCATTTTAAACAGAGTAAAATTAAGCAGATGAACATGCAAGTATATTACCCAGATGTCCTCACAAAAGAAAAAATGTAAAAAAAATAAATAAAAAATAATAAAATAAAAAAATAAAAAAATAAAAAGTAGAAAATGGCATACAGAACCTCGAAATTTCTGTGATTCTATTAATAGGATGTGACAAGAAAAGAACTTTCGGCCAAAACACCTCAAGGGTAGGGCTTGATCATTAAAGTTCTACAAATACATATACTAGCAACGTCAAAATGCAAAGTACTGCACTGAATTTGCTCTCCAGTAGGAATAATAGCTATGGCCATATGCAATGATCTACCACTTTCCCCATCATTAACCGTTTCCTTAGACTATAATATAACTTAAAAAAAAGTCCTTTATTAAAAATGCAGAGTACATAAATCATCAACTTTAGCCAATACCCCTAAAGAGTATCACACCAAGGCAAGTAGCAGGGTAGGGAAGGCCAGATGTAGGGAGCCTTACTACAGTGACAAGCAAAAGGTGGTTTCCAAACTCACCCTTATTCAATACATATCTAAATCATACGCCCTATCCCTAAATAAAAGGCACAATAGATTGAAGATCGCTATCAAGAAATTAGGTTGAAAGACCATGATTATACTACTTTCTGTAAGAATATACATATTTAGTTCTTTACCATACCACAAGGTATCTTTCCTGAAAAAATCATTAAGGGTAATATGAAAAGTTGTGAGCTTAAATAAACTATACTTAATACATCATAGAAAGAGGACTATTATTTTGGGACAATCTAAAATAGAAAAGGTAGATTAACCCAGGTTAATATAGTCCTGTATAACCCAAACGCCACAAATATAATACTAGCTACGTGACAGAAAAACGATAATTTATACCACAAAACAACATCAACAAATTCTCATAATTTCTGAAATTGTTAGTATGGAGTAAATTAAAACTACATAGTTGCACTTGCACTTAAGGTTATTATGACTTTAAGAGTCCCCAAAATTAGTTTCATAGATAAGAATCCAGCAATAATCCCAATCAAACACAATCTAGCTTTGTTCTACCCCTTTCCTCCTTAACTCCAGGCCTGATTCTGTTCCAAAAAAGAACCTTTCTAACTTAGACATGACCAGGTCATGACAAGATAGTCATGGTTCGATAACAATATTCAATTCAAAACAATATTTTTCTCTGCTTAACTTGGAAGGTAAAAAATCTAGGAGGTTTTGTTCACGTCTACAAATCAACATTTATCAACACTACCAACACAGGCATAATGAAAACTCACAAAGAAAGCATAGATCCAATTTAGAAATATAAATGTTGTATAACTAGCCTAAATTCAATCAAATTGAATTGCTTTAAAATGCAATTGATAAGAAGAAACAGGAGCACCTAGATTATACCTTATCACGGGGTTGTTTCTTCTTAGCACTGGTATCATTATTCTCAGCAGACTGATCATCTCCTAAAACTGAATCAACTAGCTGTTCACTTAAATCATCAATTTCGTCATGACTAGCCCCATTATCAGCCAAACCACCATGATCATTTAGCAAAGACTGTTCGATATCAGAAACCAATACAGACTTCAGACTACTCCCATCAGGCAAACCAGGATGATCAAGCTGTCCACTAACCCCACTTCCACTATCTCTACTCGAAAACCGCCTTTCATTCTCATAACTCCTACTATTAGAACCAAAATCCCTATGATTATTACCCCTCTTCAATTCACCAGAAGAGCTACTAATCTCCCCACTCGCATTACTCTTAAAACCATCAAAATCCCGCCTTTGGTTAGCGGGCGTGCTCGAAAACCCCGGCGGAGGCACAGACCGTCTCTGCTCAGGCGAACCATAACCCCAGTTAACATTACCATCAATCCTTCGATTCAGATCAAACCCATTAACCCTCCTAACCCCTAAACCCGAACCCAGTTCACGCTCCTTTAACAAATTCAATTCCAACTCCAATTTCTTCAATCTCAAACTCTCATTCTCAACAGAATTCCCACAATTAGGGTAATTCCCAAAGTACCCAGTTTCAGATTGTTCCAATCCAGTCTGCTGCTGGTGTTGTTGACGACGGAGAAGATCAAAATGCTGATGAGGAGCAGCGAAAATGGAGGGGTTATGAGAATTAGGTCGCGGAAACCCTTGATAATAGAAATTGGGGTTTTGGGTTTGAGGAGAGAGAGAGAAAGGAGAGCGAGAGTGAGAGTAATCGTGCTGATTGTGGTTGTGGTGTGGTCCGACGGAAGGTCCGACGGCGGCGACGGCGGGATCGAGAGAGAGAGTGTGAGAAGGAGGTGAAGGAGAGAAGAGATTGTGAGGAAGAAAAGATGGTTGTTGTTGTTGGTGGTGGTGGTGTTGTTGTTGTTGTTGCTGCTGTTGTTGGTGGTGTTGTTGTTGACGGTTTTGGACGAGGCGGAGGAGAAAATCGCCGCCGCCGTCGGACATGGTGGTGGTGGTGGGTTTAAGGAGAGATTTGGGGGTGATTGTGATGGGATCATGAGTTTCAAGATTTTGGGTTTGTGGGGGAGAAGAGGGGTCTTTTTCACTTTCTTTTATTTTTTTTACTTTATTATTATTGGCTTTTTTTATGTTTGATATTTGAGATTTTTTAAATTAAAATAATTGGGACACCTATTAAGATATTTGGATATTCTTCCCTTCTATAGAAGAATTATTGAAAAGGTCGGATTAATCAATAAGATACGGTGAATTGAACACTTAATCGAGTCTTAATCTCCTTCAAAATAATTAAGGATAATATAAACTTAGTCAGTTTTACTTAATTTAATACGGAATTTATGTTTTCATGTTGTTGAGTGAAATGGTAACCCTTACTTTGTGTGAGTTAAATGAAATATCAAGCACTATTTCATGTAACTTGAATGAAATAATTAGTACTATTTTGTGTAATTTTTTTTATTTTTATTTGAAACACTATTTTGTGTAAATTGAATAAAATAGAGACTATCCATTCGTATAAATCAAATTAAATATTTGTTACAATATTGTGTTTGTGAAAATCTACAACAAATTTAAGAAAAATATTTTATTGTTTAAATAATTTGGACAAGTACGACAAATTTAAGGGCGCTAAATCAATTTAGATATTTACGTCACAACTGAACATCGATTCAATTGATTGATATCAATTAAGAATTTAAGATAGAAGAGTGAAAGGAATGGAAAATGGATAAACAGAACAAGGGGTGCTTTGGGTTTTGTGGAGGGTAAGCTGACTAAAGAGGTGTTACATTTAGCTAGCAACCATGAAGATGAAGTACTTATAACTCACAACTCTTTGTTTACCTATTATGGATGTAATCTTTTACAAGTAGATGACAACATGTCTTAAAACCTTCCTAATTAAAATAATATACATTGTTTAATAAAGTACCTCGCAAAACTCCAATATATCAACCCTAACAATCACATGCGGGCTATTTTGGAATTTATAATATGTGTAGATTATAATAATAGTACTGGTCAAATTTATATGTATTATAATTTGTAAAAAGTCGCATGATGATGCAACTACATCTTCAAACACATATTTTGTTTCAACATGTCTAATGGGATATTATAAGAAAAAATTGATGAACTTATTCAGAGGATATATGATTTTTGTCATTTTATATTGCCGAAGGACTCCATTTGACAATTGATCATATACATTGAATGGATGTCTTTCTAATCTAATAAGTTAGCACTAACTTTATTACGGAGTATTAGACTTTGGCATACACATGTGAGCTACACTAAAGACCCTTTTTAATGAAATAAACCATATATAATTTGTTGTAGTGAGGAATTGAATCCTCAACCTTATAAATGTGTTTACAAAAGAAGAGTTCTACAAGCACAATCGAGGTATCACTTAATTCTCACAATCAAAGAATATATATTCTCTCTTGTATGGACAAACAAATGTTGGTTACAATCAAGATTAAGAGACGATGTAATGCTGCCTCATCAAATCTTCATAGACATAATCAATTATTGCAAAAAATTATAAATAAATCAAGCAACAATTGATTATCTTTTTTTTTTTTTCTTTTTAATTTTTTTTATCTACCATACTTAAATCTATCAATAAATGCAAGATATTGCAAACAAAGTAGACTGACAACAAACCCAACGAATGCAAAATTGCAAACAACGTAGATTGACAAAAACCTAGCAAATACATAATTGCAAATAAATATCACAACTTATTCTAACTATGTGTAATATTTGTGTTTAGATATAGTAAAAAAAAAATATATTAGAAGAAAGAGAAAATAAATATCACAACTTATTCTAAGTATGTGTAATATTTGTGTTTAGATATAGTAAAAAAAATATATATTAGAAGAAAGAGAAAATTTGTTGACGAACATTATCTATAGTATTGTGTGTCAATATTGAATATAGGTGCATTAAGATTTAAGATCATGTTTGGAAAGAGTATTTATTTGGTTGGAAACAATTTCAATTAAATCATTACCGTTATTAAGTGTTTGGTTAAAAGATTTGGATAATAATGGTTTCTATCTATTTAAGTAGTTTACCTATTTAAGTGATTTCTTTCCATAGTTAAATCAAACATATGAAAAGAAACTTCGTAAGAGTGGAAACATTTCTGCTCCATTTTCAATATTTATACCAAACGCGAAAACGCCCCTGAGTAGCAATTGTTTCCTAGGCGACATTAGCGACAATCGAGTAGCCCGCCCGCCCAATAGAAAGAAATAGACTGGAAACGAGATGAGCCCGTAAGATTTGCAAGACTCAAATAAAGAACCCACCTCACTTTCATAAACCCTACTTGCCTTCATTCATCTCTTTCCTCAGGTTCTCCATCTCCTTCTCTCTCATATATTCTGCTACATTTCAGATTCACTTTTTCACATTTTACTAATATGATTACATTATTTTTCTTCATTTAGGGTTTCAATTCCAGCAGCAATGGCGCCCCCTGCGAAAGGTATTATTTTTCCATTTCTAATTTTCCATTTCCATTTTTTTTTGTTTTGATTTTTGGCCTTAATTGTTAATTGTGTAGGAATACATGAATTTTTGGATTATATTTTGTTAATTGTTGATTTATGGATAATTAACTATATGAATCTAGTTTAAATTCAAGTTGAATTTGGTTATAATAATTAAAATTATAATCTTGTTATTGTTTTTGTAATTCTTCTGTTACAAGCTTAATGTTGTTGGATAGCAATGTGCTAATGTTAGTGTTTTTAGTGACTGCATGCTGTTTCTTTGATCAACTAAACTTTGGATTTGACAATTCGTGGCCTTTTGTGAATTCATTTGATTCAAGTTTTTCTGTAGATTTTTTTTTTTTTTACTTTTTCTTTCACTTAATCATTTGTTGCTCATATTTTTGGCAATGTGATATGGCGAAGTAGCTAATTGAATGTTGAGAAATGAGAATGAAGGTTGACATTAAGGTTCTCTCTACCTTTGGGATTGAAAGATTGAGTGTGATAGAGGGATAAAATGGTTTTAAATGCAAACTTTGTTATGCTACTCTCGGGTTTAGTGCTTTTACTGTTGCTTAATAATGTGCTACATTGGTTGTTGATGCATTACATTATTTCAGTTTGAGTGATTGATTTTGGTTTAGAAAATTTTAAATACTTCTGCCGTGCTAATTTCTATTCCTAGGGTTTAGTCCCTTTTGCTTGATTGAGAGCTGGGTTAACTATGTATAGCTCTTGGCTCTGTAGTGATTGTGTCAATCCGACTTTTTAATGTCATGTTATTGGAGCAAATTCTTGGTTGTGTTTTTTTAGGCTGACTTTAATTTGAGTACCGATATTAATCAGTTAGTAAGTGATCGGAAAAATTCATCCTTGATTGTGCAGTGCATTGCTTAACCCTGCTATATTTATTAGCTATTCATGCAATCTCTCTTTCCAGTTTTCAATTTTGTTTAGTAATAATCTATTCTTCAGTTCCAGCAAGGTGCACTTATGGATGTGTTACAAAATTTGTTTAGCTGTGATAAAATTGTATTACATTTTTACAATCCTAGAAGGATACCTGACATCAATTATCTGGCAGATGTAAAGAAGGCTGATCCTAAAGCACAGGCCTTGAAAGCTGCTAAAGCTGTGAAATCTGGCTCAAGTACCTTGAAGAAGAAGGCCAAGAAGATCAGGACCAAGGTTACTTTCCATAGGCCAAAGACATTGAAGAAGGACAGAAACCCTAAGTACCCTCGTATTAGTGCAACACCAAGAAATAAGTTGGATCATTACCAGATACTTAAATATCCCTTGACCACTGAGTCCGCAATGAAGAAGATTGAGGACAACAACACTTTGGTTTTTATTGTTGACATCCGTTCTGACAAGAAGAAGATTAAGGCTGCCGTCAAGAAGATGTATGACATTCAGGCCAAGAAAGTGAATACCTTGATCAGGTGAATATTTTCTGCCAATCAAATTGTTGCTCTTCACTTCATATCGTTATCTGTGTTTCCTTTATATTATGTTTCGATTCTCTCTTCACTCGTAAGGTTAAAAGTGTGAGACTTAAGACATATCTTCTACAGAAAGAACTTATATTCCTCATTTATCACGAGGTTGAAAGAATTGCATACCGTTACTCTGTTAATTATAGTTTTCACGTGGCACTGTTTTTTTATAAATAGCAAACTAATTACTTGAAACTTAAAGGCAGCAATAAAATGAACAGTATAGTGCCATCCTTGCAGTTTTTAAATTCCTGCTTGCTGATTTTTAGCTTGTGAATAACTATTGATTAGGGTTTACTGAGTTTCCTGTGATTCTAATTGTTATGATTAATTTCCTATATGCAGGCCTGATGGCACCAAGAAGGCATATGTTCGTTTGACACCTGACTATGATGCCTTGGACGTTGCAAACAAGATTGGAATCATATAATTTGTATTTTGCTCCATATTTGTTCAAGTAGATGATCTCTGACATTTTTGATAGGAACATACTCAGTAGGAAAAACATTAAGTTTTGTTTGATGTTGCTATGCAATGTAGTAGCCTATGTTCTTATGGGTGCCATTATTTGCATTTTAAAGGATGTGTCTGTATTTCAAAACGAGTATATTTTCGGAATGCCTTTTGCTTCTTAAACATATGGGTTCATCTACCAAAACTTGAACAAGAGCCTTCTCTCCAGCATTGATCTTGATAATGGCTGATAAAACTGCAGGGGTTGCTAGTACAACAGGGTTTTCTTGTGTTGCTGGCTAGCTAATATTTAATCGATGTACACTTTACGCAAAACATAGTATGAAGAAAAGGAACAACCACAATGTCCCATGAAGGATATTATTACAACTTAGAAAATAATTGTTAACTACGAGTGATATAAACACTAACATGAAACTCCAGGCAAGAAGCCAAGAATCGAGCTTCGGTTTGGTGCCTATACGAAATAAACGATATACATTTTTAAACCCTCGTCCCTTAGCTCTATTTAACCTAGAAAAACAATTAATTAAATTATGAAATACAATTTCTACGAGACAAAATTCTTAAGCAAATACACAATGTAAGAAGCTCGCTTTGTATCAATTAAATCAATTCCATGAAATCCAACATCAAAATGAGCCTCAACTTTTGCACCACCTCTAATTAACATGGTCACAAATTCTTGTTGTCTATCAATCATAGGATCCATACTATATCCAATCACCAAACACCTTCCTAATTTGCTTATCTTACTAATTATGGTACGATCCTTCATAGGATTACAATACTTGTGATCTTTATTTGCCCCCTTAGGCAATGCTAATTCCCACAACAAATCCCAAACTGGCAATGGACATAACTCATCGCATGCATATTTCAACTCCGATTTTGTCCTTCGATTTCCACTAAACATAGGTTGGTTTAGGACTATTCCAGAGATTGATAAAGGACTAAGATCAACATCCATGGCCATAACGCGTGCATTATATGCTATGTTCGCGCCATTCCCCCTCCCCCCTACATAAAATCTTGAGAAGTCTCCAAACTCCTTTAGCCATTTTTCTCCATTGGGATCTATCAATTGTTGTCGTAACCAAAAGAGCAAATCCATCGCGTCTTCATATGGTGCTGGTAATCTATGCTCTGGTGCTAACCGATATGATAAGGATATTACTATACATGGAAGATCCCCGGCAACTTGTCCACATCTTTCATGACTGAAAATATCACCCACGTTATAATCAATCCATCCCCCATGATGAAAATAGGTCAATATGGGAAGTCTAGCAACACATCCATCATTTGCTGGTAATTTGGTGGGACAAAATATTCTAGCCCATACATTATTTTCTGTGTTTATTGTTACATCCTTGGATGCCACTACTTCTCCTACACCAGGGTTTGGATTTGCTTCCATTTGAGGCATCTTATTAAACCGACATAGCGTGCCATCTTCATTCAGAGAGACCTTAAGGTGTTCATATGGATTGAATTTTGACATCACTAATCAATAATGGCACAATAACTTAATTTACATCAAATGATTAATTTGTTAATTAACATCTATATAAGATCATGCAATGTTTTTCTATTCCATCCTCCTCCTATAGTTGCATTGTTGATTAGTTAGAAGGTTGGGCTTGCTTCACGGATTAAATGATAAGAAGCCACAAAATAGCATGACTAAATAATGAAAAAAAAGTTTATAGGATAGGATTTATCTAATTTCAAGAAGTTTTCTAATAATATGGAGTATTGTTTAATTTACAATTGTGTATGCTTTTGATAATGTGTGAAACGTAATTATCTTATCATTGTTATGATTTACGGGTAAGATACAAAATTACTTCGCATTTAAATTGCTGGAACATATCACTCTACCCCCATTCAATAAAATTCGAACCAAAGTCACTAATATAGGAGAGCCACACCCAGAGACTCACATCTCAATACTGCAAATCACATAATGTTTATGATTAACGGTATACTTGTAGATGATTTTCTCTTGTATCAATCACATCCTATAATCCAAGAAACAATTAAGTCAACAACCATTTAAAATACATCTAGAACTAGAATATTCCTAACAACTCACGATTACTACTATATAATAATCCGAAACATATGCATAACTTACACAACAAACAATTATTTCGTATCAAAATGAAAGAGGCAGATACCGAATTAATATAACTCATATTGATAAGTGTTCATACATAATTTATATCCATAAAACATTTAATCACACAATTTCGAACCCTACATAATAGATCTTAGAGAGATATTAGACCCAACAAAATTCTTAACTTTATCAACCAAAGCTTGAGCCTTTTCAGGCACAAACAACTCCACAGCATGGTGTCCTCCTTCATCAAAATCAGCCACCACGTGCACTCCACGTGACTCTAACATCTTAGCAAATTCTTTCTGCCTGTCCACAAGTGGGTCCCCTCCGTACCCGTTGACCAGGACCCTTGGTAGCCGTCCGATCTTATCTGTGTAAGCGTTCTCAACCATTGGATTGCAGAATTCATGATTACGGTCAGCACCAACGGGCAGGGCAAGTGACCACATGACATCATTAGCTGGTAAAGGAACGATTTTGTCATCGGGTAGTCTTAATTCTGAATCTGTTCTTTCTTCTCCTCCAAAATATGCTTGGTTTATTATTAATCCTTCTATCTTCATTGGTGATAGATCATGATCTAATGTTCTTAAAGCTGCATATACATCAATTTATCATAGGTTATGAATGAGTAACTATGTTAACATTTGCTTGTAAGCTTATACTTTGTTCGTCCTTATATAACAGGCCATGTTAAGACGCTATAAATTGAACTTTTAGTACGAGTATATATGTTATCTTATCCTTATGCATACTCTTCATTATAAAAATGTGACTACACTGGGTGGATAACTAAAGAAGTAAATATGCATACATTGAAGGATATTTGTGACAGTTCCTTAAAATTGATCAAAGTAATCAAATATGACCTATTAAGGATATTAATAACGAGTTTGAGATCAAATTGAACCTAACAGTGATATATATCGAAATTTTTTATATAATATGGAACTATGAGCCACCAATTGATCATTTAGACAAAAATTAATTAACCTAATAGTTTTTTTCCATGATGATCATACTTTAGATTGAATATTCTTATGTCGATCTACTTTTACTTTATCCACACACACATGCCCGCACACGCATATTTAAATAATGTTACTCGACAGTAAAATCGAAAAACTAACCTGCATGGTAAGTAATATTGCCACCAGAACTACTACCCATAAGAAAACAACGCTCAAAATCAGCACACTCCTTCAACCAAGGGTCACTTCCTTCTCCACTACTACCACAGCTCACAGCTTGGTCTCGGACCCACAAGATAGCCTCAACAGCATCATCATAAGCAGCAGGAAGCCGATTCTCCGGCGCCAATCGATAATCAACAGACACAAATACAGCAGGTATAGCAGCTGACATACGTTTGCAGGACTCATGAAAGAACACAGTTCCAGCAGAGTAAAACACGAAACCACCCCCATGAAAGTATATTATAACTGGTAGCTTGTTCGATGAGTCGATTTCTGCAGGTCTGAAAATGCGAAGGAAGGTATTCTTGGTTGGATTAAGGGGAACATCCTTAGAAATTACTGTATGATTTTGATTAGTTTCAGTGTTATTGTCCTGTTTTTCTTGTTGTTCTAGTTGTTCAGTGGTTGGTACCAAGATTGTAGGGGTAAGTCTGGTAATTGTGCCATCTGGGTTTGGGGATATTTTCAGGAATTTGTAAGGATCCATTGTTGGATTATTTGAAAAGGATATAAAATAAAATATTAAGGATTTTCTGAAGTCTGAAATGTATGAATGTGAAAGTAGATGAGGTTGGTTTTAAAAGCAGAGTTTTGAGGCATTGAATGAGAGAGGTAGGTTGGGAGGAGTTGTGCCACATTTTGAGCATTGTGACAAAGGCAGGTATAACCAACTTAATGTGCATTCAATTAATCGAGCTACCCATATTTACTCTATGATACCGTTCGTGACTGATTATGCTATGCATGTATAGATCAGTCACATAGGACAATGATGTAGATGGATTAATTTGATCCCGGAACTTCAATATTTTTCAGACTTTACTAGCAAAACTAGCTGACTCCCACCAATTGATTAGTTGAATATAGCTAATATAGCTATAGTGGCGTGGTGGTAATTTAAGTACTCCGTATGATAGACCCTTGGGAGTAAATGTAGCTAAACTTGATTATTAACTAGCCGTCAACACAGTTTAGGAAGAAAGGCTTTGATCAAGAACAATATCGCGCAACCAATACATCAATGTACTATTTACAAAGATTAAACGAAAAATAGATGTTTGCTTCCTTTAGGGAGAAAGTAGACAGCTTTAATTGACAACAATTGACATGTTATAACGCGAGATGGATCCTCATTGGTCATCTTGGTGGTGTGTTTGACAAACATAATTTGTCATTTCTCCTAATTTGATTCCCCCTTCTCTCGTTCTAGTAACTGAAGATGATACTCACGCATTACGAATCAGTTGATCGAATGCAAGATCTTATTAGGGGGCCGTTGGCTGTCCTATTCTGCAATCAAAGCTCAACAACCTCCAATCTCATCACCCCATCATTTCTGGGTTTGATCCTTCACTTTGCATTTAATTGGTTGCCGTTATCATATACGAGTAGGAGTTATAGGACTGCCACTGCCACTACGCCCTGGACAGTTCACCTTCTATCTTTCCAGTTAAGTGTCCAACCAAATCTCTCTGACAAATCATACTCCGTAATGAACTAAAAACAATGCTGTTATGAAGTAAATTATACTCCAAAAAAATATTTATACTACGTAGGCAAAATTCCTAAAACCGAATCCGGAACTTGTAATACTTATGTGTTTTAAAATTGTAATACCAGAAGTTTCAATTCAGTTCGGGTTTCAATTCCGGCACCTTGTATTTTGCTAACCCCTTAATAGAGTTATAGACCGGAAAAGTTCACATTTTCTGACAGTGTAATATTTTAAAATCGGGAAAATTTACCAAACTAAGCTTAATTACCAAACAATTTTTTAAAATAGACGCGTGGCCAAATTATTTTCGGACAGCGTTTTATCCCTAATTTTCTTTTATTTTAAAAAACATATATTTTGTTATGAAATTGATGAGAAAGAGAAAGTAGAGGAGAGAATAGATCTATATATTTATTACTCAATGATGTAGGAATATATATATATATATATATATATATATATGTGTGTGTGTGTGTGTGTGTGTGAGAGATATAATTAGGGTTTCCTTATAAAATACTAAACATAGTATATCTAGAATATCCTAGAATTATCATAAGGGTATAATGGGCATCCACTAAATACATATGTTATATAACACTCCCCCTTGGATGACCATTATCGAATGGTGTGCCTCGTTAAAACCTTACTAGGAAAAACCCGATGAGATAAAAACCTAGTGAAGAAAAAAGATTACAACACTTTCATAATACGCCTTGACATACTGCCTCGTTAAAAACCTTACAAAGAAAACCCATGTGGGACAAAATCATGGTTAAGGGAAAAAGAGTGCAGCACGTATTTTCTCCCCCTGATGAATGCATAACTTGAGATCTTCCAATGTAATGATCCAATGCCTTAGTAACTTCACACTTGTAGCTGAATAACATTCCTTGATAATTGATCCTCCCTGATCAAACTTGAATCTTGACTGTAAAACATCTTCATTTATCCATACTTGTGAGAAAAATACCTATGTTGCGTTTACCACTATCTTATATGACATTTTTGTTTCAAGTTGCCTTACCATCAAAATTATGCCTACTTTTGGAGGGCGTAAAAGTAACTATTGATAATCAAATACTAATAATAATTAATGGCAACCCGTGATATCTTGATATCATGATCTAAGCTTATATGAATTAGTAATAATATAACATAAGTATTATTATATACTTTATTCATGGTTCTTCTGGACTATAAGAAGATGATTCTTACTATAATATATCTCATTACTATTCTTCTTTAGACATTTTGCATTTTATACGAGAGTTCTTCAATGTGTACAAAATCGATTAACTCTCACTTGGTTAAATTTCAGGTTGATATCTCAATAACTTAGTCACCAATACTCTCCATGAGTTTGATAACAATATCAACATTGTCATTTTTTTCAGAATATAGAATTTGAAGGGCTAGATATTTGAATATGTTGTATATAAGTTTTGCGGGAACTTTTCGTGCATGATTCATAACATGCTATTGGATCGTCATCATATAAACTTTCTTCACAATTATAAGCCCATCAGAGTATAAATTTCTTCTTGTAAGCCTTCATCATAATTATAAACTCGTCATACCGTAAACATTCACGTATAACACAAATGATGTATAAAACTAATGCATGCAATATGAGATGTAGAATTCATGGTAAAACATTAAACAATATATATATATATATATATATATATAATGCATCAAACTACATCCTATACATACAACGAGTAATTCATAAATTTAAAACTCAAAC